GTGTCAGTCATATTCATAATGTGATTACAAATGTTCCCAAGGAAATTTTTTACTTAAAGTTTCCTTCATAAAATCAATTTGTTTATGAATTATAGTCAAATTTGATTGAGGAGAAAGTGAGCGAAAAAGTTCTACTTGAAGAATGAACACAACCTAATATTATTTACCCTTCATGTTTTACTACTTCAACTTTTCGTTTGGTTTCAGCAAAAACACAAAAAAGAAATTTCATGCTTCATGTTTGACTTCAACTTTTCATCGGGTTTCAGCAAAAACACATAAAAAGAAACACACATGTTATAGTTTCCTTCATAAAATCTATTTTTTATGAATTATACTCAAACCAAATGTCAAATATAACTGTGATGTAAAAAATATTTTCTATCCTAGTTTCTCCAAAGTAAAAACAACCTATGTCAAAAAAGAATGTGAAAAATGAGCAAATGAAATCAATTAAACCCCTATTCCAAAAGAATCATTGTTTAATTTTGATGTAACAAAATATTTCTTATCTAGTTTCTCTAAAGCAAATACAACCTATGTAAAAAAATAAAGAAAGGAATTAGTAAATCAAACTATTGAACAAAATATAATTGAATATAATTAAGCTCAATAAATCAAATAAATGAAAATAACTAAACAGAAAGATTTTATTTCATAAATGATGCAAGCTACAATTTCAATTAGACAATCTTCATAACGCTATATCATTTAAAAAGACAATCTTCAAAACACAATACCATTTGACAACACAACAAAAGTGCACTTTCTCGCAAATTTTAATTGAATATGTTTTGGCAAATAAATTATATATTACAAGTCGGAATCACTAAATCTTCGCTAAATTTAACAATCATATTATGAATATCACCAATATGGAATATAGAAGTACCTATCCTTGGATAGGAGATGATTAATGAAATAAGAAAGAAGTTAATAGCGATGAGCGGTGATAGTTAAATAATAAAAAATTGCGTAAAGCCTCCATCTGCAATGCTTCAGTAGTTTTTAAAACATCAATAAAGATCATTTGAATAAACATGTTAGGTTCTTAAATATTCTCGATGAAGAAGCACATTTTTTATGCATTATGCTAAAAATGATTGAACTGAAGTTCAAATTAGTTCAAAAACTATAAAAGCTTGAATTTACAGGACTATCTCACCAAAAGATTCTTCTCATAGAGATGAAACTAGCAACACCAAGAACACCTAATTCCGAGCACAAGAAGGCCTACAATAGGTACCTAAAGATAAGCCGTCGGTAATTTCCTTACACTGCCGGTAATATACCGGAGGTTACCGACGGCCACCGCGGTTATCCGGTGAAAGCCCGGCGATGTATACCACCGGTAAAACCGTCGGCCGGACCGCCGGGTTACTGTCGGTAATACCACCGGCGGTGTACCGATACTTGTCGGCGGTTGAGCGAACACACGACGGCCTCTTTAACCGCCGGCAAGCCGTCGGTAAAGTGACCGCTGGTTAGCCGTCAGACAAATAACCGGCGGCTTAACGACAGGAACACCGCCAGTTGCAAATCCGGTAGTCACCGGCGATATTAGCCGCCGGTAAACCGCCGCCTCATAAAACTGCAGGTATAAACCGCCGGTAAGTGTTTCCTACGCCATTTTTACCTGCGGTTGTAAAGCCGCCGATAAGCCGCCGGTATATTGTAAAACCGCCGGTGTTACCATACTAACTGCCAGTTTTTGGCGTTTTTCTTGTAGTGGGTTGAACTGGCTGTCTAGCTCATGCTCAATTAGCTGGTCCAGTTGACCATCCTTTATGATCAAACAGAATAATCAAAAGCATAGACTAAGGTACATTCTCTTACAAATTTCTAGTGAGAACATCTATAACTAAAGCAAAAAAAGCATAGACAAAGGTACATTCTCTTACAAATGTCTAGTCAGAACATCCATAACTAAAGCAAAAAGCATATACCAAGATTCATTCTCTTGCAAATGTCTAGTGAGAACATCCATAACTCAAGCTAAAAGCACACAATAAGGCACGCTCTCTTACCGGAGGAAGGTCATGCGTGGAACGGGGAGGCGGTAACACACGGAACGGAGGCGACGACTATAGGCAACCAACGATAGCTCTAGTGGGCAAGCTCGGCGGTGAACATGAAGGAACCGGTCGCAGCGGCGTTCGAGGCTGCTCGTAGACACAAGTGGAGCAAACAGAGAAGAGGGAAATAAATGAGAAGAAAGATGATGGAACGGTCGAAATAGGGCCCTTTCCATCGAACTTTTTGGCGGATTATCCGTTGGTCTTAATATCGAAAGATAAAACGTCGGAAAATATTTATTGAGTTTAAGTAAGCCGGCGTAATTTACACCGGTTATTTCGCTGGTAATAATTAGCAGAATTTGCACCATAATATTTTATATATCGATGAAACCACCGGTAGTATAAACACTGGTAATTTAACTATGAAAATTTCATCGAAACTACCGCCGTAAAGTTACCGACGTATTTTTCGTTATTTAGGCCGCTGCTTTTTCCGGCATATGTGTTGCCTCCGAAAAGTTCGAAGATAATAGCAGATTTTCCTATAGTGTAAAAGGAGATTGTAACTTCTCAACACAAACTCTAACTCTCGTTGTCAGTGCTAAGCTTTAGGGGCTACCTGATATTTGGCTCCCCTCGTCATAGGAGATAATCCAAACAGATAATAAATAATCTCTTGAAGAGCTTGGACCGGAATACCCTTATGCTCTAGATCACAAATTATTTTTCTTTTAAAAAATCCACCAAGAATATAATTGATTCAAGCACCGTTCGGGCAAGGTGAAATTATTTACGGTAAAAATTCAATTAATACTTGGACATTATTCGAACCGTAATCGAATGAGAATATGCAATTTTAAAAAAAAATTAGTTAATATCTGTGCATTATTCGAATAAGATTTGAATAACATATTGTTCAAAAAATTTATAAAATAGCTGAATTACATGTTCGAGTATGATTTATATAATGTTTGAACATGATTCTAATTTAATAAGTAATAGAGTATAATACATTTTCAATTATTATTATATAACAACTTATAAAGCATCCACAATAGGGATAAAATTTTAATCAAAAGCATTTTATGGTTAGAGTAGAGATACATATGTTCGGATGTTGTGTCATTACCACTCATATTCAACACATTGATGTTATTAATCTCACATTGTTTAATAATTTTCTCAATTACACACACAACTCTATATTTGAGTAGAGCATATATCTTTATGATTAGTACGGTAACTCAAATTATTAAAACCCAAAAGAGATAAGAGTGCCAAATCTTAAATTTGAACTTTACTCAAAGTTTCAACCTTGCTAAAGTTGTTTGAACAATATTTTAGTGGTGATAAAAAATTTGTAGATCTTAATCAAACCATTTTTGAACAGTGATTGAAGCTTCTTCGACCATTGTTCTATCTTGACTTAAAATATAAATTAAATTCAAATATATTTCAAACAGTATCTAATTATGAGTCGAGCATATTTCTAAGTTAAAAATTTAGAGTACATATAAGATGTAAATAAAAACTTGTCTTTAATTTGTACTTATAATACCAGCATATCTTAGAATTCCAAAGATAGTTTAAAACTAATGAAATTTTTGAGGATTATGAGGGATATAAAATTAATTTTTTTTATCTTACTCTAAATTAATGTAAGGTGTTGTTTGGTTGGCTAAAAAGTATGCAACATAAATGAAATTCAATGAATACAACATAAAATAAATACTCTAGAGTTGTTTGGATGTGTAAATTAAATGCAGATGAATGTTTTTTTTTATTTGTTTTGAAGTAAAATAAATGTAATGAAAAATCTAAAGATGGTGGTGGCCTGTGGCCAGTGGCGGAGCCAGAAAATATCTCTAGGGGGGCCTAAATTTTTTATTTTATTTTATTATTTTTCTTCAATTTTTTACATCCAGACTTAGGACCAATATAATCAATATTAAAAATGATAAAACTTTGTTAGTGAATTAGTTTATTTTTTCCTTCACAAAATGACTTCAATCATCAAATCACTCGATTTCTGCTAGAACATGTTTAATATATTAACTAAATACGTGATATTAAATATATTAACTAAATACGTGATATTAAAAATCTCATTTAAAAAAAAATCATAAATTCTATTTAAGATCGAATCAATATAGGATTAAACTAATATCAATCAAAAAAAAAATGTAAATGAATAGGAAATTAAATTGGGAGTGATTTGAATGGATGATCGATGTAAAATTTCTTGACCGTGGACTGTTTATTGGGCATTTAAATGTCTTAGTGATATCATAATTTGGCGATCTTGGGCTCGTTGGATTCGTCTTGTCTAGCCGCTCGATTCGACTATAAGCATGTTAGGTTTGTGTTTTTGAGACGTTCAATTCGACTGTAAGTTTACTGAAATCGGAGTTCATATGGTATTACCCATGCCTGTGGCGGCGACTGGCGGCGATGGTGGCCTATGGCGATATCCGTCGGTGGGTGGTGTCTGACAACGGGTGGATGGTGGCGATGGTGGCCGACGACAGGTGGATGGTGGCGATGGTGGCCGACGACAGGTGGTGTCGACTGACAGTGATGGCCAACGATCAAATGAGCTTACTTGCGTTATAAACAGTTCTCACTCAAAATTGAGCGGGCTTACTTTACCTTAAAATGATTTACATTACGTTTACTTTGCTTTACTTTAGCTTAAAAATGATTTGACTTTTAGCTTGACACATAGTGGGACAAAATTTTTTTTTTTTGCAACATTTAGGCCATTTAAGGCAAACTCACACACACAATGCATACACATGGACTCGAACCTTGGACCTCTTAGTTGGAAGCCTAAGCTCTCAACCAATAGGCCAAAGAGAGTTGTGTGTGGGACAAAAATTTGACTTTTGTTATTATTTTACTTTATTTTGCATTTATTTTTCATCCTACCAAACACAACGTTTTCAAAATCACAGCATAAACCTATTTTACATCCAATCAAGCAGCTCCTAGACGAGGCTAAACAGCAATAAGTAATGGAAAGTTCCAATTGGTGAGGCGAGAACTCGGCGGATGATTTACACGCGACGACGCACGCGATGCTTCACTGTTCTCCGAATCCGAGGCAGAACAAATAAATTAAACAACTTCAATCAGAGGAAGCGCGACTATCCTTTGGATTCATTCCAGGCGAAGATCGCCGCTGATTTATCTGCTTATTGGTTAGTTTATCCGACGTGTTTGCATTCCGCATTCTTCACCGAAAGCCGGCGTCGTTGAGCCATGGTTGACACCGCCGCCAGAACAGAGATCTCGTTCCCTGGAAGGTTCGCGAGTAGTGCGATCGCCGCCTGTTTCGCAGAGGTTGGTAGTTAGATCCTGTTGTTTTTTTTCATTGAAAGAACTTATACCTGCTTTTTCCCAAAAGATCTAATACCTGCATTTTTGCACACGGGATTTTCTCATTTACCGCAGCCATTATGCTGTTATGATAAATCAACGGTACATTAAAATGCAAACTACTACGTGGCATGAATATTGAAGCTGTGCATACTTTTCTTGAATTGCACTCATGGAAGATCTTGTTGGCTTTGTATACACTTATATAACTTCTCAAGTGTTTCAAAAAATATTTCATAGGTTTCAATAGAATGATCTAGACACGATAGATCTAACTCGGCAAAGCAATTCGAGTAAATCTCCTCTCAGCGAAATGTCCGGGGTTCACATAGGATTCCACATACTTGGAGGATTCGTCCTTCCAGCAGGTGTTACTCTTTCAAAATGACTCGTCAATCACCTTGGTCGATGAGTCATCAATGGAATTTGCCAACCTAACTACAGGGAAGTATCAATTCAAAAAGACATAAACTTGCTTCCTCATGCTTAGCTAGCCATGACATTTGCTGCCCCTTTATTTCAAGTAGATTCGCACTTCGTGCTAAAATGGCTTAAGAGCCTCACCCAAGTGGTCGCCAACATTGCCAAAGGACTTATCAATGGGAGTTTTTCCAGCTCAATATATCTTAGGACTCAGCTTCATTGACTCGCACATGAACATTAAGTGAAAGGAAACTTGCCCCAACAAGATTGAAGAGATAGGTCGGAGAACAGAGATCATATCAAGCACATATTTGAGCAAGACACATGTCCAATGCATTCCATGCTAGATTTCATTTATCATTGTACTTTTTTTTGAAAATCTTTTTTGTTGTAGCATTCCCCGAGGCTCTTAGATTCTAATAAATTAATAGTAAAGAGTCATATTTTGGATATTTTGGGGCATATCCAAGAAGGCTTGCTGAGCTAGTGAAATATTTTTCTTTCAAACATCTTCTTTCTGTTTCCATACTTGCTATAGATTCTCAGGTTCAGGTCTCTTGAGTTTTCTTGCTAGTAAATTCGGGTATTTTCAATGGATAATTTTGGATATGATATCCTAAAAGATGCGGTGAATATGTATTGACGTCAGTGACCAGAAGACATGCACAATTTGATAAACAATCCAACCCTGAGCTATCAATGAATATGGATGCCTCAAACTACACCCGTCATGACCTCATGGAGTGTCACAACCCGCCCTAGCATAATCTACATACAGAACAAATCATATCGTGTTGTATTTTGATGTGATGAACTTTAAAGATCTATTTGAAATAAATTCCTTTTTTATTTAATTATCAAGGTTTAAAATTACACAATTGGGTTTTAAGGTATTTTTTATTCGTGAGGTGAGACATATGCCTGAAGGTGTTTTGAGGTATAAGCCTCAATTAAAAAATTAAGTAAAATGAAAATAAAGTTTTAAAGTAAATTTTTATATAGTAGTTAAATAATATATTAAAAGATGACATTAACTTTCTGTTGAACTATGGAGTAATAAATTGACAAACATAAGAAATAAAAAATTGCACAAGATGTAAAGTGACAAGTGATAAATTGCACAAAATAGAATTGAAATTCAAATATTACAAGAGCAAAACAACATAAAATATATCAATTGTATAAAAATATCATATAACATCAAGTTCAACTTCAAATTTCTTCTTTCTCAGTTCCCTACTCATCGACATTTAATTTCTAAAGAAATATGAAATAGATATCAAATTAACTCAGAAATCATTTGTATTGTCATCACTGAGGGGGTCTTTATTTGAGTCGTCGTCATAACAAATTGGTCTCTTATATACTCATTATGTAGAGTCCAATACCACCCAATATACTTCTTCTTCATTTATTTAAATCAAGTTCCACTTTCAAAAATATTTGTCATTAACATAAAGATGAGAGTAATACTCCAAAATTTTTAGAGGTGAAGGAGATTGTGGTGTGCGACTTTCAAGTGATTCCCGATGGCTGCTACGGCTGGGGTGGCTGCGACAAAGGCGATGAGATGGAGGTCGAGGCAATTGAGAGGAAGTTTTGCAGCTTGGGGGTGCGTGAAGGCGTGATTTATTTGGGACTTTATTTTAAATTTATATAAGTTTTAATCAGAAAAAGAAAAAAAAATAGGTTGATGCATGCGTCTCCTGGAGTGAGGCGTGGCACACCTCAAGGCTAGCCTCAACCAAGATGAGGTGCAAGCTGTATAAAAAATGGTGTTTTTCGTTAAAATTGTGCTGAGGCGGCATCATATTACACAATGTTAAATAATGTTAATTATAACATACTACAGAGCAACTAAATAACTTGAAATGAATATAAAAATACATTAGTCAAATTTCTTTTCATTTATCTCATTAAGATTATAAAATCAAAATAATTATTTACAAATAGTACATGACATATAAAAAAATTATATAGAACATAAATTCATGACTGCCTGAACATCTAAATAAAATATATCTATAAAGACTCAGAGATCAAAACTTGCAACTTCTCTCTATTTAATCTACGCATTTTCTTTACCTTGACCTAACCCATATGCAAAACAACAGGTATGAGCAAACCATAACTCAGTAGGCTACAATGAACCTATATGAATTCTTAATAATACACATAACAACAGGACATGAACATAAACAATAAACAAGACTACTCTTACAGAACTTTAAGTAGGTTATTTAGAACAATGCTCTTATCCATTGTGTTTCAAAACATATGAACATATATTTTCAGATTCAATGTCAGCTCAAAATTATTGAAATATTCATTTTTCAAAGACAATGAAAATAGAAACAATAAACCTATCACAGCAGATCACATATAACAAAAATTTAAATACCTCACTTTAATTTCTCAGAGCATATCACATTTATTCCCCTTAGGTCTTCATACCTCCCAACATATATAAAATTCAAAATTTAGACCCTTATGGCTCATTGTGCTAGCACATCATATATTATTAACCCCTATGAATCTTAGTGTGTCGCATCACATATATTCAAAATTTTAGTCCTTTTGAACTCCTACTGCTTTGCACCATATATATTCAGAATTTCAAACTCTTATAACTCCTAGTATACAACACATTAGAACTCGCAGGCAATCATCATGACTTCTTCAATTCACACATTTTAGACATACAAATTAAAAAGTAATTGCATTTTTAGATATCATAAACAATATCAGGTTTATCATATAATGCCCTATTAGCAACAAAGCATATAAATTTTTGGGCTAAACTCGCATACAAATTCTCACATTTTCAGATCACAACCAAATTGCCTCATATTGTTCCCAACAATATTTCAAAAATTTTATTGTTTTACGATACTATTTGTTAGTGTAAGATTATTTTTCAGAATGCTTAAATTAGCATAAAATCAAAACAACCCAATGAAAATTTATAAATAATATACCAAAATGTGCATAATATTGCAATCTATAATATATTGAAAGTTATGCAATGAAAATTTACCAAATGTTTGAATATACCGCTCTTGTGTAGAAATTTCAAAATATAAATAAGAAAATTTAAAAAATCTCGAATTATTAAAAATCGAGATCAGATAAATATAACTTGTATTGATTCAGATAATTTTTTGAATTGGCCCTAAACCCTAAACCCTAAATTACCTGAAGCTGCCCAAATTGTACTTTCTCTCTTTAGGATCTTACCATCTCTCTCCGGTCTACTGGGATTTAAGAGAAATGATTTTAATTTTTTTTTATTTTAGTGGATTTAGGTATTTATATAAACTTTTATTTCACAGCACCGTGATGCTCAAACACCCAACGCTGTAGTGCTCACTTAAAATTTAGAAATACAAATAGCATGGCATCGCAATGCTCCCAAAATTCGTTTTCCCTCATTTTTAGAATAGAAAATACAAAGAGTTAAATGCCGCAACGCTTCACAAAATAGTGTCGCAACGCTCCCAAGGAAAATTTCACACATGTAGATTTTCACACGTAGAACCCTTGGGACACACTCCAAAATAGAAATTATGCATTCAAAAATATATAGAGACCTTCACAAAACATAAAATGTAGAAATGCAAAGATTCAAATCTGACAAGTTTGATTGATCCGCTTTGGGAGTTCTTGAAGACTACAAGGATAGGTGCCAATGTCGCAAACCCATGATGATTCAAAACAAAGGTAACACAATACCTAATAATTGGAAGGGAGCTATTCAGGTGGTTAACAACTTTCCCTTAATCTATGTTGTGTCCGAGAAGACTAGAAGGAAGTAGTGCTCAGGGAGATTCATTTAAGTGAGTGTTAAAGCCATTTAGGAGGGAAGGCACTCATCTATTGAATTTTAAGACAGGGATGCTTTGAGCCGATTTTGAAGAAGAATGTAGAAGAATTTTCAAGGAGGTGACCACAATGCTAGTTACAACTATCTCACAAGTTTCAACAAATTAGTAGCTTATGATTATTCATAGTGTAGAGGATGGATCTCTTGGGCCCTTTCCCACCATTTAGTTGCCAATCTATTAAGTTCTTTCCCACCATCCAGCGGCCAAAGGAAGTTTATACTTGTGGTGGACTACTTTACCAAATGGATTGAAGCTAAAGCACTTACTAGAACTACTTTCACAATTATTAGGAACTTCATATTGACAGACATCATTTGTATGTATGAGTTGCCTCTCTCTATCATATTGATAACATGCCACAGTACGTTGACAGGAGCAATAAGGATTTTTGCTAGTCACAAGGCATTCGCCTTAAATTCACTTTAGTGCATTATCCACAAACTAATGGATAGATGAAGGCGATGAACAAGCAGATATTAACCTTCTCAGGAAGAAAGTGAAAAAATACAAGAGCATGTGGGTCGTGGTACTTCCCTTAGTCTTATGGGCATCAAGAAAATCTCCATCCTAGGTAATAGGCCAAACACCATTTTTTCTTTCCCACGGTGTTGAGGCCTTCTAGTGGAGCTTAAACAATACAGTCAGCAAGAGGTAGTAGATGCCAACTTTAGTTAAGGCGAGTTTATTGAGTGAGAATAGAGGAACCAAGTTGCGAAATTTGCATAAGTAAAAAGGAGGATGGTCAGGTACTACAACACCAATGTGAGGGAGAATTTCTTCCTGAGAAGTCTATAATTTCTTTCACCAAGAGGAATAGTGAACTTCTTCGAGTAACGCCAAGCACAAGTTGCGCTTAGGCAAGAATAAGTAAAAAGGAGGATGGTCAGGTACTACAACACCAATGTGAGGGAGAATTTCTTTCACTATGATGACTTAGTTCTCAAAACGATAGACACCACTGCTCATAACATATTGCTAAGAAAATTGGGGTTAACCTGGCAGGGTGCTTACATCATCAAAAGGAAAGTTGGCCCTGAGGCATATCAGTTTCAAACTCACTCAAGTAATGAAGTGCAAAGGATGCGGGGTACAGATGATTTGAAGATTTTTTATCCTTGTCGGGAGTTCCTGCACTCTTCGTGTTTGAAATTATTCATAAAAAAATGAATCTTTTCCTTTTCCATACATTTCGTATTTGCTTCATTTCTTGTTTGAGCGAGTTATTAGGTGATCAAGTCTATAAATTTGCATTTACTTCTAACAAGAGTAATATTCGGGGAATTTGCCCCCTTTGCACGATTATACTTGGAAAACTCGTCCATCTTCTTGAGCATAAGCAACAAACTCACCCGTTTAGGGTAAATGTCTATTGATACACCGTTTACTTAGGGAATCTGCATAGGTGGGTTAGAAAGCTAGAGCAAGGAGTGGTAGATCTTTACTCATCGAGTTAGGAGCTGGCTAGCCCCTTGCCTATGGTGATTTTAGATGAACTAAACTTATACCCATTAACTTAATTGACTCGACCCTAGAATATATGAAGCAAATCGACTGAGATGGGAGTCAACCAAGTTTCTATCAAGGCTCAAGTTCAAAAGTGTTTCAGACTACCTGTAGGCTAGCTGAAACCCTCAACTTAAGTTCATATCTCAATTCTAGTTTCATGAACTAGCTATGTGCCCACATCCATTCATGATGTGAGAACCTTTGCTTATTTAACATTGCACTTGGGTGTCAGTGCAGCGGCTCTTGTACACTTTTTGGTATATTTAGGATGTACAAAGCATTGCTTCCAGGGAATGCCCTAGCATTAATACAATTTATTAAATGATTCATGTAATAATTGCTTAACAACTTTTATGCTGACTGTCAACTACCTAATGCAACTATGCATTTTTCTCATACATGGCAACGACAGTGCTATGAAACAAAAATTTCCACTCAAATAAAAAGAGAAAAGGACCAAAATGATCCTCAACTCTTTGTTGCAGGGCTAAAATGGTCCCTAACTCTTTTAAGGGACCAATTTGGTCCCTCAACTCCTTAAAAAGGGGGCCTTTTTGGTCATAACATCAAAGTTTTGGTAATTTTTTTTAAATTAAACATTTCTTTCATAAAAAATTATTAATAATTCTAGCATATAATGATCCTAAATTAAAATTACAATTATTAATTTTTTTATTAAAAAAATAATTAGTAATTTTTTTTAAAATTACTATTACTTGAAAATTTCATTTAATAAATAATTTAATTAAAAAATGACTGATTACCCATCAAAACTACTAAAATAAATATCATCTCTTAATTTTTGACGACCGCCAAGTTTTTCATCATGTGTTATGTTTTAAAATAATACAATTTTGATTTTTTTGACTTCTTTTGATGTGAACAATTAGAACAATTGAGGATTTCTTAGATGAAAAAGAGGCTCAGAAGTAGGTGAAACAATTATAGAATCTATAATATGTAATTTTAGCTAAAACTATTTTTTTATATAATGAATGAAGTTAATAATAATCAATCAATATTTTTAGGTTATCAAGTGGAAATAGATTTGATCATGTAGAATTAAATAGTTGAGATGCTACATATACAATTGATGTCAGTAGATGCGCCATTAATTTGTGCATGTAGAATTGAAACAAAAAGATTAAAATAAGAAGTGATAGATCAAAGATAAGGAGATAGCATGGCTAATGCTTTTGTAAAATGAATTGTTCAAAATAGAATTAGTGTCTCACGGAACACTCCATGTAAAGGAATTGAGAAGGAGAGTATATGAGGTCTACCCAAATATTTAGGATAAGGTTAATAATGATGATGTTATGCAAAGTTGAAAGTACTGATAGATCCCAATCTTAGTTCACTATGATAAATGCAATAGCACTGACTTAAAACCTTTTCCATTGAAAATGCAGCTATGTACAATTCCTTTGGACACAGCCAAAGTCAGGCTTCAGCTCCAAAAGAAAGCAGTCACAGGAGATGCAATCGCTGCACCTCAATACAAGGGAATGCTGGGTACTGTTGCCACAATTGCTAGGGAAGAAGGCTTGGCGGCGCTTTGGAAAGGCATCATTCCTGGTCTTCATCGTCAATGCCTGTATGGAGGGTTGCGGATTGGGTTGTATGAGCCGGTAAATAGTGATTGCTTCACTGGAGAAACATAACTCGATGGTTTGCATGCCATCTTTATGATATTCTATTTCACGTGATAATTCAGAAATTTGCATCTTTACTTCTCCACCTTTTTTTTTTCAGATTAAATCCTTTTATGTTGGAGATGATTTTGTTGGGGATATTTCTCTATCCAAGAAAATACTTGCTGGTCTTACAACAGGTGCATTGTCTTCAAAAGAAGAGTAGTTGAAGCCTTGCATGCTTTTATCTTTATGCAAGCTGATCTATTAGCTGTGTTATTGAGGGAAATGATACCCTCTCCTTTGATTTTTATTTTCATGAAAAATGCTTTATTTCAAATTCAACTAGGTGCTATAGCAATCGCAGTAGCAAGTCCAACTGACCTTGTGAAAGTTCGACTTCAAGCTGAGGGAAAGCTTCCAGCTGGAGTACCAAGATGTTATTCAGGAGCATTGAATGCCTACCACACAATAATCAGGCAGGTGTGCTTTAGGAAAGATTAATTTCACTCCCTGTGACGCTACTTTGTTTCTACTGATGTTGAACATCTATTAAACTTAGGAAGGACTGGGGGCTCTTTGGACTGGGCTTGGTCCAAATATCGTACGGAATGCAATCATAAATGCTGCAGAGCTGGCCAGCTATGATCATGTGAAACAGGAATGGATTTTAACGCCAGTCCTATTATTAATAGTTAGGACTCATTGTGATCTGCCTTTATTTGTTGAATTACTTCTGTTCATACGTCTCCTATCATTTTCTGCAGACTATCTTAAAATTTCCCGGGTTTTCAGATAATATGTTTACTCATCTTTTAGCTGGGCTGGGCGCTGGCCTTTTTGCAGTCTGTATTGGCTCTCCTGTTGATGTTGTAAGTATTTCTCCTCTTTCAGTTTCTACGTGTCTCATACATTACACAAGGATTTTGGAGGAGATGGAATTTAATTTTTTATTTTACTGTTAGCTTTAGCTTTGTCCAAATTGTTTGCTTAGACAACTGCACAAATACTGATCTTGTAATATCTCCAAGGGCAAGAAAACATAAGAAATACTTGATCATATTTTGTCGTTTCAGGTGAAGTCAAGAATGATGGGAGATTCAACGTACAAAAGCACACTTGATTGCTTCATTAGAACATTGAAAAATGAGGTATCCTTTCTCTTTGTTTATAACTTCCTGTCAACATTGAGCCTAACCTTGTTCATTAACTAACTGATTGTGAACTTTTTTGGCTACATGTGTTAACAGCTATTTTTATGCTTGATCTAAATGTATTTGCATTGAAGCTCATCTAAATGGTGATTGTAAGAGTGTGGCAATTGCTAAGTTATTTATTTACCTCTATTACCATGTTTCTAGAGCAGCTTAGGCAGATTTGAATCTAAGTAGTTTAAGCTGGTAGCCTGGTAGATGATTCCTATTAAATATGTGTTGACCTCTACATGTGTTCTAGAAGCTTACTCGATTGAATGCAATAACGGTGAAAGGAGGATGTAGTTTTATGAAGAATTGCTTTAAACGTTCTATATACTTAGAAAAATGTGATAATCCCAATGATTACAGAAGGCCTAAATTGCTCAAGAAATCTCGTCTGTATTGCTAGAGTTGCCGTATGAGGGGAGGACAAAATTTTATCATGCGTGATAGAGAAAATTCACAATAGGTTTAGCACATGCTTATTTTTAAATAAATAAAACTAATAATAAAAGAAAAAGGATAACATAAAAATATAAAATAATATTTAAATAAAATGAAATAAATAAATAATGGTAGAAAATAATTGAATACTAATAATAAAACTAATAGAACAAATAGAAAAGTATTATTACCCTAAAAAAAGAGAGAGAAAGAAACTAAAAAAAATAAGATTTTTTAAAATAAATATAACATGTTAAGGAGCAATTTCTCATCTCATTATATTCCATAAAATTGGGGGCACTGTAGCACCACCGAGTGCATTTTTTTAATAACACATGATGAGTTGAAGGCCATACGATCTTGAAAAAGTTTTTACAAACATTTTCCCTTCATATGTTATTAAATGATTTTAAATTATTATTATTATTATATTAACTTAGAGATTAAAAATATAAGTACTAAAAAATCCTAAAAAAAAGTGCGCACTATTTGTGCCATGCATCATTTTGAAGCTTTGTGCTGCGTTATATAAATAGCACCGTATGTGCGCCATGACGTGCACTATTTTTTGATATTGACATGTAAACCAAGAAGAGAAGATAAGATAAGAAATAAAAGTGAAGAGTGGATCTTTATTAAAGTTGGAATTGCATAGCCCATGAGCTACACACCAAATAGTAAGACTTTTGGATTCCATTCTTTTGAGATCAAAATCCTTGTGAATGATAGCTGAGTTGTTTTTGGCATAAATGATGTATATTTCCAAGTACTCTATTTTTTTGGTGTGGATAAGGGTTGTGATTATGATCTTTGTACTTTTATGCATTTTGTGCCCTGTGAGATGCCACATTTGAAGGTTGTTCTTGTAGTGGTATTATGATCTTGATGTTGTCAGTGACATCATTTATTATAGTTTGGGTGTGTGCCTTTACACATGTGGTGGATGCTGCATTGACTTTGTGATGTGGCACTAACTTTCCTTGGGTCCACCTCTATCCTGTCAAACTTCTGATGCACATTGATTTGGTCTTGTGAACCTGAGCATTCTGAGTTTTTGCTGTGAGGTGGTCCAAGTTATGGCATTGAGTAATCGAAGAGGGGTGTTATGGTCAACTTTACCTTAGTTTCTCATAGTTCATTTGGCCTAGTCGCTTAGTGCCTTCGTAGTGGATCATTCTTGGACATAGGCAAGTTTATACATGAACTTTAGGTCATGCAGATCTTCTTAGGTATAATTTATGAATGGCTCCTTGTACATTTTTCTAACATCTCATGTTTTCGTTAAGGTCAATTCACTTGATTTGTTTTGTCTGCGTGGTGTTATGGTGTCCAGCCAATGTTAGCCTTGACTTTATTGGCCAGATCAAGTATTAGGGCAACTCATTTGCTTAGTCACCCAGTGGCCTTGAGCATGTTTTCTCATGCTTCGCCTCTATTTTGAGTAGTCGATAATTTGTGCCTTATTACATTCATTTACTGATGCTTGGTTGACTTAGGGCGGATAGCACTCGAAAAATATGCATATATCCTTTTTGGAGTTTCCTTGAATATTCCCCCACGGGATGCCAAGTGCACAACATAGATTGTTTCTTCAGGAGGAGCCATTTTGGCTTATCTCATGAATGCAAGCCGACTAAAATTGTAAAAGGTTAAAATTAATTGAGATTTTATTGATTTTTCCCTTGAATGTAAGTTAATGAGCCATCCTTGACAACCAAACTTGGCTTGAAATGAGACCAAATTGAATGATGTCATGCGGATCTCAAGCTAAGGTAGGATTGACTCGAGATTGGATCATTAGCAGATGGATCAAGGAAGATTAGAACACCCCAGAGAACTTGGAGTAACCAAAGAGAAGCACAGTCATATAGAAAATTAAACATATAACAGAATTGAATTGGCATGAGGGCATGGCCAAGAGAAGCACATGTCATGCGCTCTGCTGCCCTCAAGCGCCTTATCATTTCTGAAGTTTCGAAAATATGTTGAGCAGGGAGATCGCTGCACTACATTCACTGCTTCGAAAGCTAGCTATTTTATACGCACTTAACAATGCTTCTGGAATCTTAGAATTTTATTCCTATACTTTAAGGATGTGTTAAAATTTTCCGAGTGAAATGATTCAGAATCTTTTACCTGGCATATGGTAGAATTACATTGTTGTTGAGTTGTCATGGCTTGATTAGTCTTCATTGAACTTGAAGACTTGTGTTTTTTTTTGTGCTTTCATATTTCAGAGTTCTTTTCATTTCAGGGACCTTTTGCTTTCTATAAGGGGTTCTTTCCAAATTTTGGTCGGCTTGGTTCGTGGAATGTAATAATGTTTTTGACATTGGAGCAGGTGATAAAATGCTTTCAAAGTTGATTATTATCTAATATTTGTTTCCCAATTTTATACTCTTTCTCTAGAGTATTAGTCAATCTTAGGCTATTATTTGAACACTTAGGTTTCATTTGGGACAATTTTTTTATTATTTCTTAAAACAATTTTTTATTACAAATTAATTTTTTAACTAAAAGGTTGCTTTAAAAAGAAGTAAGAAAGTTGTTCTAAATAAAGCTTTAGACTTCGTTTGGAACAACTTTTGACCATTATTTTTTTGCCGTTTTCAAGAAACTTTTGTACTAAAAAGCTACTTTAGAAAACGGTAAAAAACGTTTCCAAATGAAATCTTAATAAGCAAAATTAATCATTCTTGTTATAAGACAAACCGACTTTTATGTCTTCTTGCACATGTGCTACTCAAACATCTGATTACCTTTTTTTTACTGGCATTTATGGAAATAAATAAAAGAAAATATAATTTACATGTATTTTCACGGTTTCACCTTTCGTTCACTGGCAGGTCAAAAAGTTCTTTACGAGACAAGCATGAACCTGATGAAGCATTTTGTTCTCATAGAATGAATAAGGTTGGTGCAGCCAAGTGTGGGAACACTTGGGAGGGAGCTCAAGCAAAATAAATGCTTAAATTTATCAAATTGCTATTTTTGCCTGTTTTAAGGCAGATATGGAGATGTTGTATTGGTAATAGAATAAATATATGTTCCTAGTTCTCTGACACAAAATTTTGTTATTCTAGAATCAAAGTGAAAAACTGGAAGTTGTCACTCTTACCAAAAGGGAGTCAAATTTTGTATCCTTTGCCGTGCGCACACTGAAACCTTGACTCATGATATTCGAATTTGAATATTCATTCTCAGTGCTGAAAAAACTTATTTCCTCGTTTCAGAGCTTTTACCTTAGGCCTAACATTGCCTAAGCCTTTAATCATGTTGGTGGTCTATCAGTGCCTCAAAACATTAAATGTGCAATTCTCCTCACCCTAAATGCTATTATTTACTACTTGTGGATCGAACGGAATAATAGGAGATTTAACTTTACTGCTATGTGTGTCGTCACTCTTATCAAAAGGATTGCTAGAGCAATCAATTTAAAGATTTCAGGTAAGAAAGGTGGAGATTTTTTTGAAGGAAAGACTAAATTTTAAATATGTCGCATAGTTATGTTTTTGTTGATTGACTGTTGTTGGAAGATGTACAACAGTGTCTCCCTTGGCTGCTTTATTTGATACGCCTTAATACTTTGGAGGATGGATTGGGCTGTGGGAGTTTCTCGAGCATTACTTATTGTTTTGGAATTTTGTTGCTTTCTAGTGGTTTTAACGTGCCTACTCGTCCGTTGCCTTCAGCAGATACACATTTTGGCAGGCACAATTTTTTGAGCCTGAATGATGATGAAGACTGTTTAATTCTCCCTTTGGATGGTCTTCGGCAATCAAGGGAGTTTCTGATTAGCAATTTTTTATTATGCTTGTATTTCTGAGTTCAGGCCTACATTTCTTCCTGTCAATTTTTATTGATTTTGTTCCTGTTAGCTTTCTCTCCGTGTATGCTTTTACTTGTTTATTATAGATTTCTTTTATTTATACATGTACACCTTTTGATTTTCAATAGATCGGGCTAAGTGCTCAATTAAAAAAGAAAAAAAAAAATGGAAGTTGCAGATAGATTCCTTATATATGTTGAGCAAAACGTGGAGATATGTCGGCTACACAACTCCACTAGCACGGAACACTAGCTACTTGATGTACCTGCTTCCTTAATTGACCTCGACAACATCCCCACGAGGTCTACATGATAGTTTTCTAGTGTTGAAGAACCGAGCTAGCAGTTGTGTTTTATCCCATGGAAATTGGAATTCAAAGATTACTAAATTTAATAGATTTTCAGAGAATTTGTTGAGTTTGAAGTGTTCATTTCTATATTCATGAAATCAAACGTAGAATCTAGCAAATTATTCATTCACTAAATAAAATTTTATTTTTCATGATTAAAAATAAAAAATGTATAATCCTGATGCGTCCCACAAAATACTGGTTAGATTAATTCTAATCCTTGATTAAGGGCATTAAGATTTGTGCTTATTTCAGCTTCAATCCCATTGAATTGCATCAATATTTCTGCTAGTTATTTTAATCAAGCTTGATGAATCTCGTGGCTTCAGCCTAAATTTAGACATCTAATTCAAATCGTCGGATACATTGATTTTAAATCTGATGGTACATTGAGGTCCCATTGATCTATCCATCATCTTGAAGAGTACGATGGTTTGTCATTGATCTTGAAAATAATGAGATTATTTTTACCGACAGAGCCAACAACACCAGATGATCAAAACACCTCAGTTGAGAGGCATTTTCATTCAACACGCATGCCATAATCTAGGTGGTCGTTCCTTCGTTTTACTCTCACGAGAGGCTCTATTTAGTTGGTTCTCTTGCTTTTAAATTCAACCATTTAGGCATCGAAATGTTGAATAATTTCTCAGAATAAGGTAGCCATTTTTAAATTATTTGTTAAATTAAAATTACGGGGGAAAAAAGCTATTGAAGGTTGTTTTATTATACAAAACAATTATCTTACACTTTTTATATAAATGCTTCGCATGTTTTACAAAATAATTTATTATTTTGAAAAAAAAACTTAAAAAAAGTATTTTTAGATGATAATCTGCTTATACAAACTTTCTTCTATGCAAGCGAGGTAAAATTCAGAGTTTAGAATAGATGAGTTTGTTTTTAAATCCTACAAATGACTTGCTAATAAATGAAAGCATATAGGCAACTACTATAGGAATCAAGTTCAGTCGAGCTTGTGCAGATATCGTTCCAAACAAGGCATAAACCAAAAAAATGATTATAAATTAGGATGTAAAAAGATACAGTTAACAGTGAAAACAAAATCCAAAGATTCTTGGTGGCAGCATATTTCATAAAAAAAAAAAAAAATCAACACACTAGTTATGCAGAAATAAAAAAGGAGACAGACAGACAGACTTGAATGGTTGTTGCTCCGCCGATCTTTCCTCTGCTCACGAACTTTCTTCTCTCCCTGCAATGAGACAGCAAAATAAATGTTCTTAAAATTAAAATGGCCTTTTACTACCAGCTACAAAGACCGAAGAAATCAAATGATGCTGATATTTTTCCCGCTTACTCTCTTCTCAGCCTGTATATTTTCTAAGATTTTCCTTTCTGCACTAATTATTTTAGTCCAAATCCAAAGCTAGTCACTGGGTAAGTAGGAAAAAATAACTGTCACGCAAATTCATTAGAACTGTCGGTGGCTCGGAAGAGTATCAACAAGGAAACTGTTATCATTCTTTATTATGCTGTGCATTCCTTGACATTTGTTTTAAATTTCATCTCTTTGTTAATATATTATTAATCACACTCGTTCCTTTGTAGTAATTTTTATCCTCATATTGATATTTATGTGGTGTGTAGCTAGGTTTTTTCATGTTAATGTTGACCACTAGCAGATAAGTTAAAAAGAAAAAAAAATATTTTTCTGCCATACCTGTCAAAGCCCATCCCGTATCCTCGTCAGAAATCCCGCTACAGTCGCCCTATATACCTCTTTTGAACAGGTCGCAATCACCAAGTCCCGCATGCGGAGATTTGCTCTATCACCCTCCTACTCGAGTCGTTAAATACGACAACATAATGAAGCTTTCGCCTCTCCCACGCAGACATGAACTCCCCTGCCCGAGCTTCAGCTATAACCCCGCCTCCTCCTCCATCGACCTCTCCGAACTCCTCAAGTCGACCTGCTTCAGTCTCGACCGAGCCATCAATGTTTGAACCCCACTACCATTGCCGGCCAAATCCCGAACCATAACTCCAGTCACCTCCCTCAACACCAACATCAAGACCCTGCCGTCTTTCCTGTTGCAACTCGAGCCTATGAGTTTATGCTTTTGATAATATAAAAATGTTGTGGCTCACTTTCTGTTGTATACCTGTATTTGCAATATATTTATCTTTCTGTGTTTACTAATATTTCAGGATTACAGTGCATCTTACAAGGCTCAAGTTTTGGAAGAACATGTTTTATTTGTAATTTTCATTATTTTTTTTAATTTTTTTATTTTTTTATTGTAATTTTCATTAATGTATTTTTGGTTTGTAAATGTGTTTGCTTGCTTGTAACCTTGCTCACTTATTTCTGTTTTAGAGTTATCTGTTTTTGCTCACATCGTCCGGGACGATTCAAACATCGGCCTAGACGATCAGTTGGAAACAGAAACCCTAATTAGGGCATCCTGGTTAAGGCAACCATCATTAAGCACATCATCCTAGACGATATTTATATCAGCCGGGACGATAGGCTCGAATCAGAAAGAATTAGCCACCAGATCTATTTAGGTATTAGTTATTTTTGAACATCGTCCAGGACATCATCTTGAACGATGCAACATAATTATGCCTAAATTAATCTGGTAATTAGAAAAATCAATTAAGGCTTAATTAATACGATCACATCGTCTTGCACGATCGCATGATCATACGGGACGATCCGTTCAAAAACCTTAGTTGTTCCTGGACGATCACATATCGGACAACTTTTATTCAGGGCAATGCTCTAAACGATATGTGCTGATTTGAACTAATCGTACATGACGATATACTATCGGCCTGAACAATATGAACAAAAACCTTCTAATCGTCCCAAGTCGTCATGATTGATTAAGTTTAATTTGCACTGATTGTACATGATGATATTTATATCATCATGGACAATAAAGTCGGCAAGTTACAATTAATGAGCTTGCTTAAAGCTCTTATATTTAAACTTTGACAAGGTACTTAATATGCGTCTTTGGTAGCCATTGAGGCTTCGTTTCTTCTGGAGGAAACTTGAAGAGAGAGCTTGAAAAGGAGAGAGGAAAGGGCGGAGTTTGAGAGAGGGAGAAGATCCTTGGAGGGGGTTCCACACGGTTGCTCCGGCGAGCTTGCACCTTAGTACCATCGGATTCAAGGCTCATCTTGAGGGAAGTTTTAGAAAGAAGAAGATATCTTTGGTGTCAAAGGGTCCGGCTACTTCGCCGCACTGGGAAGGTGGAAGTGATTTTGTAAAGGCTTCTCCACCTAGCTGTGGGGGTTAAATGAGAGACACTGAGTTTAGTGCAATACTCGGAGGGTGCCTCCGAGGAGTGGACGTAGGTCAAGGTTTGACCGAACCACTATAAATCTGGTGTGTTCTTTCATTTATTACTTATGCATTTAATTTTCGCAATTTAATTTTCTTTGTGGTGAATTTTAATTTGGTTTGAGTTTTGATTGAAAGATTTTTAAAATACCAATCCACCTATCTCTTGGTTAGCCTTGAGCTAGTTCATAAGGGCTTAACATCCCTACCGAACTTTCATTTCCCCTTCCCCAACTGCAGCTGAAACTTCCCTACCTCAAATCACCCTTCGGAATCCACCTTAGCCGCTCCTTCCCGACCTCCAGTCAACAAACCGACAACAACCCAGCCCCAATCAAGTTCATCTTTCCTCTTGCACGATCCCTAAGCTGCAAGAAGCCCTAGATCTAGCTGCTTCTCACCCAATACCTCCTCTAGCTGAAGCCTCTTATCACTGAGCCGAACACCCAAGATCTAGCAAGCCCTAGCCGATCATCTTCCTCCAGCCGACTCTCCATCCCTACCTAGCCAAACTTCCATCTGTACCAATCTTCTCTTCACATGCTTCTAAAAATCGCAAGCCAAAGCCCCATTAGGTATAATTTTTTATTTTATTTTATTTAGTTATTATCATTATTTTTTTAAAAGTTGCACTTGACATATATTAATATGAAAAGAAAATTATAAGTTGTAGGAAAAGTAGCCTACTCCTCCCAAAACAAAAAACAAAAATGGAGAAGATTACATTAATAAGTTCATTCCATACAACACTAAAGGAAAGGAAACAACCAAAAGTAAACAAAAAAGGACCCCTTCAATTGAGTGCCCCCTCATGGGTTTGTAATGTGTATTAATAGGATATAAAGAGAGCCACTTCGGAGGGGGGAGACACCAAGGAAGATTTAAAGACAACCACACAGGTTGAGTGGTGTCCCATTGCTCCGTCAGAGGCTAACGATCCAACAGTACCCATGGCAAACCAAAGGAAGAGAGCAACTCATTGAGCACTTAAGGGGACCAAGTCCCCGCCTATGAAGTCTGTGGAGGCCTTCTTCCTCTTCTGAGGGGAGGTGGCTATGGATCCAAGCTGGAGGATCTCCCTGGTGAAGTGGGCACTGGAGACCTTGAGCTTTTGCTTTTGGAGATTGAGGATCCTTACTGAAGTGCCTTCCATTTGTTGTACCTTGGCTGCCGAGAATAAGAAGGATGGCTGGGATGGCTTGTGGGTGAGATTCGACACATGTGACGAGTCGTTCAACCACCTATACACGCTTTCTTAGCGTGGTAAGTGGGAACTCGGTGTGACATAAACAATAAGGCAGGTAGGCCATGTACACGCTTTTCTTATCATGGTAGGGAAAACTTTAAGTACCCGTATGCAAGTATATGTAGCATGCAACAAAAATTGGGATATCCATACAACCAACAATGATAGTTACCCTACAAGTACATTCAACCATACAAACAACAATAATCAGACATGTACTGAATGACCAATCAAGTACATCTGAAGAAGTTATAATCATCTGCAAGCAAGTATATACCAAATACACCAATACCCTGCAAACAGGGATGGTTAATTCACAGCAAATGCAAAACACCTACAAGCGACAGTAGGAAGTCCGTCAGGTTACAATGATCCAACTACCGAACTACGGGCGACAACGAAGCAACACATAGTAGGTGCCAGGTCACCCCTACAGTCGATAACAATGAGCAAATGAATAAGTACAATTGATATGACACTTGTGTATAACAAAAGTGGGCATATCATTAGTATAACAAATCCATTATGGACACAATTATACATGACACCTACAAATAACTGTTGGAGATGTGTGCCTACAATCAACAACCTGCAACGGTCGGTGTCAGCATGCTGATGAAAGAAACGGACTCCTATAACAATCCCTGCAATGTCAAATGTATTGTACTTGCAAACATTTAAGTTGTAGAGCTCATTGGTGACTACCACATGTACTAACATAATCTCCAATACAAGCAATTGCCTGTAGATTAAGATGACAATATTGACAATTGATAATGGAAGACCCGTCCTTGCAAACAAGTACAATCAATGACCACTTGAGATTGGTGAAAGGTGAATATGATGCAGGAATAATGACTCTTCTACGAACACTTCTAGGAGATCATATTGAATATGACCAGTCCCTGTAAATAAACACGATCCATTTATGGATAACAACAATGGGTACATTGTGGAAAACCACTGCGGAGAGTCTTCCTCTTCAAACCTCCCAACATGTTGGTCTTCCTTGATATTTTGGACTTCTTCTCGCATCTCCACTGCAAATTGGTGAAAACTTGGTCACAAGTTTATGGACTTAGCAATCCCAAAGGCTTTCAGGTTCAGATCATCATCAGCTGCTGGATGTTTGCTATCCTCCCCCATTGCCCCCGATCACAATATCTGATACCAGAATGGCGTAGAAGCATGATGTGAAAGGAAGAATGAGTTGCAGAGGGTTTCAGTAATTTAACAAAATTGAATACAATAGTTTCTTCTATCCCTCTTCTCATCTTCCAGCCTACATCCGCTCTTCCTTCCAACCTACATCCGCTCTTCCAAGAGGCAGAACCTCAAACAAAACTAAGTGATTAAGTAAAATAAAGTATTAGGTAAAAACATAAATCAATTATGCATTTGATAGTAATGAGAAAAGTGCTCCCTTGGTGGCTGGAGTAAGAAGTGATAAGGTGAGCCTGAATCAGTCGTACACAACTGCATATAGGTGTTTTATTGAAAACTAATTCATTTTAGAATACATAAACTCGAAAGTGTTCATCCTAGAACATGTAAAACATGTAGTAAAAGGAATGATTGAAAACAATAGTGTAAATGATTGAAAACAATACGATAATATAACAAGGCTGTACTAACCTGCTGCTGCCTCAGGCGCAGCCTGTTCACCATCTTCATCTTCTTCCTCATCATCTACTTTTTCTGAGCCCTCCCCATACATGGAATTCAAGTAATCTACAGCCGATTTGGTTAGCACAAGTTTAGCTGAATCGAGTATGTCGAAGAGATTGAGCGTCCTCGGCGTGAGCATCTTTAGGGTGCCGATGTTGCGGCAGGACAACTTCACGTTATCCGGCACCTCCGTCAACAGAAACAAGGACTTGTCCTTTGGATCAAGTCCCCATCGCCTCATCGCGGCTATAAAATCCTTAGTCTTAGGCCGGGCGTCAAACAGATGAGCGAAATCCTCTACGACGAGGGCGTCGGAGGAGGAGGCGGCGCTCGCGATGGCAGTAGAAAGTGCGAGACGGCGCTCTTTGCGGTTAATTTTGATGGACCAGTCCTTAGGCTTGGGACCAAAGATGACGCCGCCACCGGGACGAAGCGGGGTGCGCTGTGAGCCGCGGCGAGCGCGGCCGGTCTTTTTTTGGGGATAGGGTTTCTTGCCGCCGCCGCTGACCTCTCCGCGGGTGAGGGTGGAGGCGGTGCCGCGGCGCTGGTTTTGTTGCTCGGCTATGATAGCGCGGTGGACTACGGCGCGGGCAGTGTCGGGAGGGGCGGATTTGAGAACGAGGAGGGCATTGCCAATCGTTTCGCCGGTAAAGGAGAAGATGGGGAGGGAGGAGGACGAGGCACGTATGAGGGTTAGTGTTTTGGAGGAGGAGAGGAGAGTGGTGGTGCGGGGTGAGGGATTGAAAGCGGAGACGAAAAGAGATTTTGGGGTGGGTAGGAAAATGGACGAAGCAGAGAAGGAAAGAGGAGACTGGGAAGAAATTATGGACATTTCTCAACTAGAGAAGAATGCGCTGGGAGAAGAGGAGTTCAAAGTATGGATTGGATTAGAGAGAGTTGGGCGAACGACGATGACGCAACGACCTTTTCCAGCCCTTAAATCAATTATTATCAGACAGGATAAAAAAATCTCGCCGTTGCCGGGGATCGAACCCGGGTCACCCGCGTGACAGGCGGGAATACTTACCACTATACTACAACGACTTTATGATAGCAGGTTAGGTTTGTATTTTAATAAATAAAGTCTATGTATGGGACACCATTTTAATTTTTTTTTAAAACAGTTCTTTAAGTAAACATATTTTTTAATTAAAAAATTTGTGCTATAAGATTGTTTTAAAAAAATAAAACAGTTAAAAAATCATCCCAAATCTAAATGATATAACTTGCTTTGCTATCATGTTTAATTGATTGTGAGGTAAAGTTATTTCGAGTACCACCAGATTTCATTAAATTATCTAATTCACTATCCTGTTTGATTGATTGAGAGAGAAGATTTGTTCGAGCACCACCAGATTTCATTAAATCGTCTACTATTCCTGTTTGATAGCATTAAATCGTCTGCTTTACCATCCTGTTTGACTGATTGTGAGCGAAAATTCGTTCTAGAGAGCTCCTAACTACGTAATCATGTCTTTTTTAAGGAGAAAATTAGGAGCAATGCTCAAATACACAGCACACAAAAAAGCAAAGAGAGCTGCATTGTAATCATGTCAAGAGAAAGCTCCTAACTATATAATCATGCACTCATCAATAAGAGAAAGCAAATCATTTATACATCCAACAGTGACCTAAAAAATTGGATTCATAAACGTTTTTAGAAGAAAAATATCATGTGGGAAATTAAAAAAAAAAGAAGAAGAAGCCATATTTGGCATATCCCTATTCCCTTTGATAATGGACAGGAGAGGGGAGGAATCTCTTGACCAACCACTTGATAAGCCTGAGGAGCTGTGTCCTTTCTTTGCGCCAGAACCAAATGGCAGCATTGTACTGCTCATCACGAATATTCTTGGTAGCTTCTCTCCAGTCATACTTCTCCATCTCTGCTCTTGCAGCCTTGGACATAGCTTCCCAAAATTCTTTGTTAGATATTAAGAGCTCAATCTTGGTAACGCAGTCATCAACATCTCCTGGGTTGAAGAGGAAGCTGGTTTTACCATCTTGATCACACGGGATAATGTCAATGATTCCCCCAGCACGAGCAGCAACTGTAGGAACTCCAGAAGACATTGCCTCGAGAACAACAAGACCAAGGGTCTCTGACTCAGAGGGCATCACAAAAACATCACCACTGGCATAGGCTTCTGAAAGCTCCTCACCTTGGAGCATTCCTGTAAACAATGCAGGCATCCCTTCAAACATTTTTTCTAGCTCACTTCTGCACACACACAAAAAAAAAAAAATCTTGGATTTTATAATTAACTTTGAACTAAATATCATAGCAATTATGAAAACCCAAATAAAAAATAAAAGAATGAGTTTCATTTCTTGATAAACAAGACATTTTGAACATTCCGGCAGAGCTTACCTGTAGGGTCCATCTCCAATAAAGGCAATTCTTGAACCTGTTAGCCGGTCCATCACCCTGTCCATATGCACATAATCAATTAACACCTGCAAATGTTTTCAAAATGCAGGTCCAAAAGGTGTAGTGAATGAACTCACTTTCTGAGGAAATCTAAGTTTTTCTCGACTCCTAATCGCCCAACATGAATTATCAAAGGCTTTTCAGGTTCACCGTCACTACAAGAGATCAATCGACTTTGTGAGTTCATTCATGATTGTATCTGCTTTGTGGTAGAAGCTTCGGATGATGGGAGATTACCTTAGTCTCACCCGCATTTCATGGTTTCGGAATCGAGGATGGAAGCTTTCAGAGTCGACACCCTTATTCCAAATACGTATCTTGTTTGCTGAACAAAAAGTAAAGCCACTAATGGCAAATCCATATAATGCCGTGTGGACACACGATACTCCTATGCAAAGCAGAAAACAATTAGCTTACCAGCAGTGGCATGAGCAGCTATAAGATCACGACGTATAGCAGCTGATGGAACCAATGTCAGATCAGCAGCTCTGTGTAGAAACTCTTTACAAAATAATAAATGGATAAGTCGGACATCTAGCAACTATACGTTAACAGCTTAAAAGTAGAAGATAATGGATGCTTACTAATAATCAGCCACATTGGGTTTACCAACCAACTAAATGTGTATCTTGGTATATAACTGTCCGATCAACATCGATATCAGCTCACTTTGTTTATTCATATTCACATATGGGAAAAAAGCATACCAAGGCAACAAATATTCAAATACTATCAGGAAAGCAAGAACTTCAGACCATTCATCAGAAAACGCTGCAAACTATCAAAGGGAATTCATCCAAGGCCTTTTAATGAAACCTTATTTTTTTTATTCGTAATTTTTCAAGTAAAACTCATTAGTAATTTTCTCCAACAAGATATTTATTGTTTAATTCATAATTTATTTTATTTTTCCTTTCCTCAATCTGACTATTTGCTGGAAGCATCTAATTACTAAAAAATTAGATATAAGACGTTGAATTCTCTCCATTTAGTAGTGCAAAAAAAAAAAAAAAAAACTAAAATCATTCCTTACCATAAACATATACAAAGTTACAAAAACATATATAATATAACAATATTAGAACATAACACCTTACAACTTATATTAATTAAGAGAAGAAAGATACAGATGGGGTGAAATCGTGGATAGAGAAGAAAAGGTAGAAAACCGAGACGAAATAGTAGAGGGGAAGGGAAAAGGTGGCTAGCTCGCAAGCTAGTACAAACCCATGGGTTTTGCATTCCAAAAATCATCACATATCTTTAAAGCTGTCACAAAACAACCCCATTTATGGAAGGGGAAGGAAAAAAAAAATTAATGCATGGAATTAAAGCACCAACCAAACAACCACTAGAAACTCAAAATCTGCAGCAAACAGGGACCAAAGGGACACCAGCCTCGAGGAAAATGAAGCATCAATATAGCAGCCAATGAGCACACAAACCGAAGGGACAACTGTCCAAATCGAAGGGACAATAGCCCAAATCAAAGGAACAACTACTAAGGGGAAAAATCGAGGAAAACAAGGCCCACGAAGTGACCACCCAACAGCCAATGAACATAAACTGAAGGGATAGAGAACCTTGATTGCATCAATTCTCCCATGGTGCAGAATCCTCATCTCATGATGAAATCGTCAGCATAGAAGGCTGACTTTCACCATCTGCAGACTCCTTTGCATCTTGAGGTGGAACTTCGGCCTGTTGAGTGTTTAGCTTTCCCTTTTTTTGTTTTTTGATTTTTTTTTTAAAGAAAGGAAGACATGGCCTACAACCTAAAGCTTTGATACTAAATTGGTGCAAAAAAAAAAAAAGATTGCAATTTAAAACAACTTGTCTTCCTTAAACATAGATGAACATGAGCATATAACACAATAGCACTTACAATTAAACGGACAACACACATACAACTCATAACACAAAACAAACACAACCTTAAAACACGACACCTTACAACTTATATAAATTATGAGAAGAAGGATACAGATGGGGTGGGAACTGTGGAGAGTGAAGAAGAGGCAGAAAACCAAGACGAAGTAGTAGAGGGGAAGAGGAAATGAGGCTAGCTCGCAAGCTAGAAAAAACCTGCAGGTTTTACAAACAAAAGTCATCATATATCTCTAAAACTATCACAAAACAGCCCCATTTTTAGGAGAGAAAAAAAGGAAAAACAATTAATGCATGGAGTTAAAGCACCACCCAGACAACCACTAGAAACTCAAAATTTGCACCAAACAGGGACCAAAGGGACAACATTCTCAGGGAAAACGAAGCATCAATACAGTAACCAATGGCACACAAACCGAAGGGACAAATGTCCAAATCGAAGGGACAGCTGCCAAGGAGAAAAACCAAGGAAAATAAGGCCCACGAAGAGACCACCCAACAACCAATGAAAAGAAACTGAAGGGACATAGCACCTTGATTGCAACATCTAGATATTATCTAACAACATCTGTGATGTATGATAAAAAAAGTCTAACCAACATGCATTGATAATATTTGAGAGGATGGAGGAGAACCTTACTAAAGCAAGTTGCAAAGAGATCCAAAGTTTTCACTTAGCAAAGTCTACCAAAGAATTCACTTTGCACAGATGCAAGAGATTATGCCAACTCATCAAATAATTCTAACCATTCAATAGAAAGAAAGATAATGATTAGCCAATAGTAGATTAATGACAGTGGAAGCTAACACTTATGGTGGTATATTGGGGATAACCGAAGTAGATCCCCACAAATGATCCTCCCCCATGTTAGCTTCCTTCCTTACTTGGCAGTCGATACTCTAACACCAAAAGATATTCCTAGGTGGAAAGCACACAGAGATAATAACGCTTAAAATAAAAGAGAATAGCTAAAATTCATACATTCAAAAAAATGTTTGAAAAAAGATACAATAGGGGGCCTATATATATTGATGACAAAGGAAATCTTAAGAGTAAGGTGTGGTAGGCCATGCATATGTTGAGCTTAAAGAGCTTAAAGATACAATAAGTCAAAGAAGGCAAGGGAAAAAAGATGGGGGATGTGGTTGTTCGCTTAGAAAAAATAGGCGTGAATTTCGCTCTCACAAGCTTAAGGCCCTTATTTTTCCGAGGTAGATTGAATTTTAAATTAACCAGATATCCCCTGAGAGTAGTGTTAGGGTTTATTTAGATATGAGGTTCTATTTTCTATGAACGCAGGCTCTCATAGTTAATTACCCCTCCTAACACGTAGAAGAATATTATCGATTAAGGATTAAATATATTTAGTTAGTGACAGAAGTGCAGATGTGTGTGCAACAGTGTGTGAATATTCTAAATCCTGGTTGTGGGGGAATGAAGGTAGACTCGATCAAGATCCCATGGTTCCGTCATCCCGGAAAAACCGTAGGGTTCAATCTACCAACACTAGCGCGGGTTGCCTGGTTGACCCGATCCGACACAGATCAAGACTCAAACCGAGTCGCGAGCGCGCTGCAACGAACAGAGTCTGCGGTTGAGTGCACGGTGCGCGAGTGCGGGGTTGCGGGCGGAGTCGTCCGCGGGTCCGCGAGTGCGCGGTGCGCCAGTGTTGGGCTGCGGACGGAGTCGTCCGCGGGTCGGCGAGTGCGCCAAAGCGGGCGAAGAGGTCTGCGGGAGGGCCAAGGGCGAGACTGCGAGTGCAGGGTTGCAGGTGGACTGGCGAAGTCGTCCGGGAGGGCGGGACCGCAAGTGTGCAGGCGGACTAGCGAAGTCGTCTACAAGCGCGCGACAGCGGGCAGATTCCGGGTTGATTGTCGGGTTGCCAGGTCAACCTGAACCCGACCCGTTTTTTGAAACGGGTCAAAAATCCAAACCCGAACCCGACCCGTTTGCTAACCGGGTAAACCCGAACCCGAATTTTTCCGAGTCGGGTCCGGGTCGGGTTTCGGGTCGTGTCAAAAATTGACACCCTTATGATAGATGTATTCTGCTTTGTAGAATGATACATAAATTTGCCGCTTTATTTATAGATATAGATGGCAAATGCCTTCTGCTTTGTAGGAGGATATATGAATTATCTCATGTATTGCAGGAATATATTAAAATTGCCTCCTGCATTGTAGAAGAATATGTAAGGTCTCATGCATTGCAGAATCAAACTAAAATACTATTTTTCAGAATCTTGATTATTTTCTATTCAATTAAAACCACACAAATTCTAAAATATTCGATAGAAAATTTCAAAAAAAAATATTCAAAACGTCATAATCTCAATTTCATTGATATATCAAAATTTTTAAAGCTGAGATAAGCAAAATATGATCTACCTCAATCTGGACAACTTCCCAACTGGCCTGACTGCTAAAAATGACCGAAGCGACTCAAATCGAAGTTTCTCTCTCTAAAAACCCTCTCTCTACTTCGGTCAGCTGCATGCATTGAATGAGTTGGAATAGTGGGTTTAAAATATATAAAAATGAAGATAATAGCCTAGCACTGTAGCGCTAGTTCATTTTTTCAAAATACAGAGAATGGAGCACTGCAATTTCACTATTCGGCTCCTCGTACTATAGCAGCGCCATGGTACTCAAATAGAAATATTTTTTAGATTTTGTCAAAATTCGCTCTAAATCTTTGAGACTCATTCTAGAGCACGCAACCATCTTTAAGCTGCATGCATTGAATGAGCAATGCAAGCCAAATTGCAGGACATGATATAGGAAAAAAATTTCCTTGCTTACATATGCATTTGACATAAGTATATATAATAAATTATATAATATAATATGATATGAAATTATGAATATGTTATAGGACATGAACATGATCAATATAGTCATGTGGCAAGACTAATATGATTGCTACTTGAAATATAATATATATAAAATGCACGAGATATATGATACTTTGCATTTGATATAAAATATGATATATATGTATTATTACTATATGACAAGCATACAACAACAATAGAACATTTATTTGATATGGATATATATATATATATATATATATAGAGAGAGAGAGAGAGAGAGAGAGAGAGAGAGAGAGATGAAGTATAATTTTTAGACATGAATAAATTCATTATAGACCTACTATGTTATATTGGGTACGGGTGTAGGAATGATAAAATATACTGATCTTGTATAAGATTATTGATTATAAAATTACATTGCTCATAGGAAATGACACCATTCATATCGATTGTTAGGTTCTCACTATTATATGTTTATACTGATATGGAATGAATTACTACATGTATATTATTTCTATAGCCTTGCATTGATTGCAGTTATAAGTTCTCATAACCTATTGAGCTGTAAGCTCACTTCGTGGTTTTTACATATTTTTTAGGAAGGGTTAGAACCCAATGGAGTGAGGTCAATCAAGATTTTCTAGTTTAGTTTTATTTTTTGTATTTGGATTTTATTCTTTTGTAACTTGTAATGTAAAATGATAGACTGATGTTATAGAATGAATTCTTGATTATTGTACCTGAATTTTTTGCAATAAATATAGAATTATGAATTGATGTATATGATTTATAATTGCTTTTGCTAAACTTATTTATACTAGTGAATTATTAGAAACTCTGATAGATTAATTAAGAAATAAAATGATAATTCTTCCATATTTAGATCTTAGGGCATCACAGCTTGGTGGCTTCCTTTCTTTCTTAAATTACTTGGGTAAGTAAATTCAACTCTCAATTGGTGTTTTTAACCTTAGTTTTGATTCCTTATTGACTTTGTTCTCATCTATAATTTGAAAAAAAAAAAATCACATATTTAACAAGTTAATAAGAGCATTGTGGCTTATTGTGTTGTTCCTTAGTTTGTTCCCCGGAACTAACACTTTTCAAAAGTTGATTAGATTAAAATATTTTTTCTTGTCATCCAGAAGAGTTCATTCTAATTTATGTTCCTTTATTTGCAATTTTCTTTCCTAAATTGGTTTCTTTCAATAAAGAGAATCATAATCCACTTATCATCTTCCTATATAATCAAAGCATCTAATGATCCAAACTTCACATCAATACACCATCAATCTAAATTCTCCAGAAGAATTCTTAAAATAAAGGATTGATATAGAACAAGAATATATATTTCAAGTCATTATCCCTATGAAAAAGAAAAGGTCCAATCTTTGTCATTACTTTATGAGCTTTGTTAGGTTTTGGGAGGTTTTAAATGCTTTCCAAAGGCTTGGGTTGTAATTAAAGAGTGATATCAACGTTCTTCATCAAGGTGGCACCGAGACTTTAAACCCATGTAGTGAATTTCTATGCAGGGTAGACTACTCTAAAGTCATATTAGAAATAATCAACATATACTCTCTCTTCCTACAAAGGTGTGGCGCCTCCCCTTCACTTCCATGCAAGTATGATATGTAATTTCTAATTTGATCCCAATTATGTAGACCACAATTGGTGTATAGTAATTTCAAAATTCCTCCTTACATGGTTAGCCACTTTTGAATTAATATAAACTTTTTAATTCATGTAATTATCAAAGAAAATGCTACATAAATTAAGGAGAGTGCTCTTGCAATAAATTAAGTTTAGTTGAATCATGCATAATACTGAGGCATTTTCTTGGAAAGTAGAGCTAGAAAACTATATTTGTAATTTATCATTAATCATGAATAAAGCAAGCATTTATTTTCTCATAATTCATGGTTATGTTATCCCCCTTCCCACCAATCCATTTCCCCTTCTTAGGCTTGTTGGTCACCATGATATCTTCCACCATGGCTGAGACCTATCCCGAGCAAATCCTTCATCCTCCAACATGTTGGTGGATGTTGCTTTGTTCTACATTCTTCGATAATGCCTCTTCATGGAATATTAATGCATTTCTTGATCATGTCTAATAATTTAGCTATGGCTGCACTTCATTCTCCACTTCCATAACAAATTAGGTGAGGCTATCCCTCTTCCTCTCACACCTCCACCGCCACCTTCCATTCCATTCCTTATAAACCTTACATGAGCACAAGCTTGCAATAACGCGTAAAACCTAGTAGGGCTAATAAAGTCTTTACATACATAAAACAATGTAGGAAAAAATAAATAAATAACAAGAAAGAAATGGTGGGAAAATTACATAGCTAACAAGTAACTAAACCCTAAATTCTTTTTAGAAGAGTTAAAGTAGATGCAATCATCTACAAGTTTATAATCAATCTTATCTTAGTAGACAATTGTCCTCTGATGGTGGGTTATCTTTCTAAATGAAGAGAAACCTGTGCTGCCAATTATTATATTTCGGTGCTTAATATGTGATTCTGAACACCAATTTCAAAAATCCTTGGTTGAAACTAAACTGCACTTGATTACTTTGCTCACCTATAATTGGATTAGACTCCAATTATTGTATTGCATATTTCCTTTAAATGACTTAATGTATTCAATATTGAAAATTGAACTTACGTGCAGAAGACAATTTTAGAGAATATGCATTTGATCTAATTTTTCTAATTATTTTAAAGAGTCCACATGCCTTAACTTGGAGCTTCTTATATTTATGGTGTTATAATTTTCAAGCCGAATGCTCATAGAGTTTGTTTTATAACTTTTTTTTACGTACGTAAGTAAAGGGGTTATTAGCAAAAGTAAATGTATAATTTGAAAATGCATGTATAGGAATATCACCAAGATCAATGAGCCTCTTTGGATTATAGCAATAAACTATTTCAAAGGTGCCTTCTTAGTTGTTTTGGAGATAATATTGTTGTATTCAAACTCTTAAGTTGGTAAGTGATGGAAAATGATAATGGGCTACCCAAATGATGCATTAATGTTGGTGTAGTTGAGCAAAGGCTTTTTGTAGGGAATACGAGTTCAACATTAATGTTTAACAAGGGTAGATGTGTTAAGGTTCACCGGCCTTAGCTATGGTTGATTCGTAAATCCATTTAAGAGAATGGTCAACAAATCAATTTTCAAATGTTGTAAAATAACAACATAATTTTATTCATTCAATAATCATCCAAAAACAAGTTTTACTTAAATGGTATTTATCAAATAAAAAAAATACATCTGAGTGTGGGAAACCAATCATTGTTTTAGAAATAATGGGATAAGGATCAAAATAGTCCACTAACTCTTTACGAAGGACCAAAAAGGTTCCCGACTATTTAACAGTCTCATTTTAGTATTGACTTCTAAAATAGGAACCTAAAAATCAAGGGGCCACATTGATACTTTAATATAGTTGGGGACTATTTTGGTCTTTCAGAAAAAATTGGAGGACTAATTCAATCCTATTCTCTAAAAATAATTTAGGGCCACTTAAAATCACTCATATGGATTGATGACATGCCCAAGCAAATAAAGAAAACAAACAATCAATTAAAAAACACTAATTAAATCAAAATTTAGCCAAGCTCAGTAAGAACGGTGGAGTGATCCTTCAATCATGCAATCTCCAATCAAACCTCCATCATTTGAAGTGGGGGCTGGCCAAGGATCCTTGAAGGAAGTCTTGAAGCTTTCCAAATGTGACACTTGATTTGAAGGGAGGTGAGACCAACCGAGAAAATAAGGAAGGAGAATGACACAAAATAAAAATATATGGTGCATTACAATAATGCCAAAATTTGTCTAAGTCATTTTAAGAAGGAAATTGGATTTCATATTCCACTATATCTTCCTTCCAAAATGCGGAAGGGACGACCATGACTCATATGAAAGTTGGAGTGGTTCTTGAATTAAACACATATTGACTCTTTCTCTTTTAATGAGAGGGTGATCATATATACATGTGCACTTTGATTTTAATTTCTCATGATTAATCTTGATCATCACACATTTAAATTTTGAAAGAGGTGGGCAACAAAAAAAGAGAGAAAGTGAGATCCATACTTCCCTTAGGTATCCATATTTGAATTTTATGCAAACATTCTTCCATACGATTTTATCTTTATGCAAGTAGTCCTAAGATATTAAAACTCCTAAATTTGGCTTTACTTGTTTAAGCGTGATTTCTCCTTATTTTGCATCAAATCTACCATGCTTCCAAAATTTTTATCCTCAAAGTTTAAAAAGTTTGCAAACTTCCTAAAAATCAACTTGCTTAAACTACTAATAATTAAACAAGGTTGTGCTAATGGAGACCTGAAACTGAATAACAATAATTTGGACTCCTACAAAGTGGTTAATTTGAACATAAGTGCTATGTTTTATCATTGTTGGAGAGAGAAAAGTTTATATTTGGGATGGCATACCTAATTTTGAAGATGGGTTAACAAGTGGAAGTGGTGTAGAGAGCTTATAAGGGACTTTTGTAGGAGGTGGGTGCGAGTGTGTTTTTAAGAGGAGAGTTTTGCATGAAAGTTTATTTGGAATGCTAATAAGAATTTTAGGTGAAGGGTTGTGACTCTATTGTTGGTCTAATAGAACTTGACTTATCAATATTTTAAGGTTGTCAAATCTACCTTCAATGTAATTGAAAAGCTTAACAATCATCATGATGATAGACGTAAATTTTAAGCTTCCCAACAATGATAAATTTTAAATAAGAAGTTTTAAGTTTCTAAAATAGAAGAGAATCCTCAACTTTCTTGAATTTCCCAAGCATTGTTCTAATGCTTTGAAAAGAAGATGAAAGTAGGATGCATGCTTGAAAGTGGAAGATATGTTAAGGTTCGCAAATCTTAATTGGTTGATTCACAAATCAATTCATGAGAAAAAGAGTCACCAAATCAATCTTCAAGTGTTGTAAAATAATAAACTTTATTCATTCAATAATCATCCAAACTAGGTAGCATAGTTGATATTTATAGAATTCAAGTCAACAAAGTTGGTACAATAATATATATTTTAAAACTTCATTAAACAAAAAGTGGACTCAATTCAACATAAAAAAGAACAAAGCATATAACACTACTTACATTGGTACATGCGTATGATATGACATCACTATTGGGACACAAAGCATTTTTGCGATTGCAAGGGCGCCAAAAACCTGAAAACAAAATAGGTCATAATTGACAAAATTAGCACGTGCAATCTTTCAAAATACTCTAATTACCATGATTCCTGGCGAGGAAGCATGTATTATGTCCGGCTTGAATCTTGCCACTTCTGTAATTATTCTAGGGCTAAGTGCAAGAGAAAGGGGTACGTTTGTGTACCATGGACAGGGAAAGCTGGCAAAACAATAAATATTAGTGGGCATGTCTGAAGTAATTGTTAATTTGTCAATCAAATGCTAGAATATTCTGAGCACACGTAGGCACAAGTCCAATATCTAGTTTAAAAAAAAAAAGCCCACAAATGTGAAATGCCTAACAAGCACATTGTAAAAAAATAAAATGTGTTGCATGAAATGAAGTAATCAACTCGTTATGAAAGCAGAAGCCTTGTCATAAACAGGATGATGGCTTTACCTAAGAGAACCAATACATTTTGCACCATAGAACTCCTTAGGGACTCCTTCATGAGTTGTCACAACCATGACCTATACCAAATATGAGAAGGCCATATCAATTACAATTTCCAGCTGATTCAAACCCGATAGAACTTGGTAATATAGCAAGTCTATATTCCATGTTTGAAAAAGTATCACTCGATTTCCACAACATTAAGATAGTTTTTTTTTTTGAATGACTATGCATTCAAGGAAACTAAATGAGTTGGAAAGAATGCTAAGAAAATTGATAGTTTATGAATTAAACTTTAGTATTCTGGTAAGGGTCGTACTAGAAATATAGGTATGATCATAGATAAGAGTTTGAAGTAAAATATTATAAAAATTGATAGAATTGGAGATAGAATTATAGCTCTGAAGATTATTCTTGATATTAAGATTATTTATATTATAAGTGCTTATGTTCCTCAAGTAAATTTGGATATGTGTTTAAAATTAAAATTTTGTAATGACTTAGAAGAATTAATACAAAAATACCTCTTAAATAAAGAGTTTTTATTGGAGGAGATTTAAATGGACATGTTGGTTGAGAAGTAGAAGATTTTAAAAGCATTCATGGTGGCGAGTGGCCATGAGTTTGGAGCGATTAATGAATGTTGTAAGACTATTAAATTTTGTTCTAGCTATTGATTTATAATTGCAAATACTTTATTTAAGAAAAGAGATGAGCATTTTATCACTTATAATAATGTACATAGCAAAACTTAAATTGATTATTTTCTTATAAGAAAAATCAATCGTTTAGTTAGTAAAGATTATAAATTTATTCCGAGTGAAAGTTTATGCATCCAACATCGCTTATTAGTTTTGGATTTTAAGATGAAGGGCAGAATATAAAAAATAAAATAAAACATTGTTCTAAGATTAGATGGGAAATTTAAAGAACAATAATAAAAATATTTTTAAGAGTCAGATTCAAGATCTTAAAATTTTGCTTGTAAATGAGGTAGCTAATATTATGTGGGAGAAAAATAGCTAGTAATATTAAAAATGTTGCAAGAGATGTGCTTAGAGTATCAAAAGAAAATGCTCCTAATAATAAAAAAAAAAGTTGGTTGTGGAATCAAAATGTGCAAGAAAAAATAAAAAATAAAAAATTTTGTTATCAAAGTTGATCTAGATGTAAAAACTCTTAAAATTAGGATATATATAAAGATGTTAGAGAGACTTTAAAGAAAATAAAATGTGAAAAAATTGTTGGACCTGATAATATTCCAATAGAGGCGTGGAAATGCTTAGGAGATAAAGGAATTTTTTGGCTTACTAAACTTTTTAATATTATTTTGAAGAATAAAAAGATGCAAGATGAGAACATAATAAGTGTGTTGATTCATATTTTTAAGAATAAAGGTAATGCACAAGATTATGTGAATTATAGAGGAATTAAGTTGATGTGTCACACTTTAAAACTATGGGAAAGAGTTATGAAGCATAGGTTAAGTCGTGATACTAATGTTTCTCAAAATCAATTTGGATTCATGCCGGGTAGGTCTACTATGGAAGTTATACATTTATTGAGAGGTTTGATGGAGAAGTATAGAGATAATAAGAAGGATCTACATATGATTTTTATTGATTTAGATAAACCATATGATAAATTTCCAAGAGAAGTGATATGGAGAGTTTTAGAAAAGAAAGGGGTAAATAATGCTTATATTCAAGTCAATAAGGATATGTATGCAGGAGCTGTTACTTGTGTTCAAACACAAGGTGGTTTGACCAAGTATATTTCTATTGCAGTTGGATTACATCAAGGACCAGCCTTAAGCTCACATCTTTTTGCTTTAGTCTTGGATGTTCATACTAGACATTTACAAGAGGATGTACCCTGGTGTATGCTTTTTACTGATGATATTCTTCTTGTTGATAAGACTATAGAGGGAGTTGAAGGTAAACTTAAATTATGGATGTGAACCTTGAATCTAAAGGTTTTTGTTTGAGTAGATCTAAAACCAAATACATGGAGCGTAATTTTAGTAGTAATAGATCTAGTTGGGGTTTGTGACTTTAAGCGATCAAGTCATTAATAAGAGTACACGTTTTAAATATATTGGATTTATTGTTCAGAGTGATGTTGAAATAGATGGGGATATTATTAGTAGAATTCAAGTTGATTGGTTGAAGTGGAGGAATGGATTAGGCTTGTTGCCAACAAAATTTAAGGAAAAATTCTATAAGATGGTGTTGAGACCTGCAATGCTTTATGACGCAGAATGTTGGCCATTAAAAGAGAAGCATAATATTAAGTTAAATGCTGCAGAGATGAGGATGCTTAGGTGGATGAGTGGCTTCACTCTTAGAAACAGACTACGAAATGAGCATATACATGAAAAGGCTGGGGTAACTCCAGTGGCAGATAAGACTAGAGAGAGTCTACTTAGATGGTTTGGTCACATAAAATGGCAGCCTTCCAATGACTCAGTTAGGAGAGTATATGTATTAGATTTGGACTATGTTAAGAAAGATAGATGTAGACCTAAAAAGATTGGGTTAGAAAATATTAAAAATGATCTTTCTTTATTATATTTAAATGATAATTTGATTTTTAATAAGACAGAATGGAGAAAAAAGATTCATATAGCTGACCCCACATAGTGGGATAAAGGCTTGATGTTGTTGTTGTAGGGTGACATAACTTCTGGAAGCGTTTTCAAGCAGGTTTAAACTAAATCTATTTCTAAAAAGTTTTAAAAGTGGTATGTGACACAAGACACTACTGGGAACTCAAATTCTGCGCATTCAAAAAGAAATAAAAGTAGGATAAATGCCCCAATTGCACAAATCTTGTAAATACCCGTGCAGACAAAGTAAGCTGGATAGAGGTCAACCTCAAAATTCCCATTTCAAAAAATCCTTTCGTTTTTATGATTATATTTGATCTTTCATCAGCAACATACAACAAGAACAACAAGAATCTCCTTGTGAGTCCATTTAAAAGTTACAGGTAAAAAGACAGAAAAATAAATTCAAACATGATCACCTCATCTCCCATTTCTCGGAGATGCTTGATGAAATTCTGGAAGCGGTTTTTATAACCAGAAACATACCTGCATAACGAATGCCCACATAAATCTCAGCAGTGCAGAATCTCAATTTACTGAGAAAATGCAGTAGTATCCAACGAAATATAAAACTAGCCAATAGAAAAGAAAAAAAAGCATTAATCTTTTCAATTCTTGTTTATTACAAAAGTTAATTCTTCTTTATTAGTAGAGCTTATCATGCGGAATACAAAAGTTTGTTCATTGCCTAACAAAAGATCCAAAAGATTTCTCAACCAAAAGCCTTGCTGCAGAACAGATATTATCTTATTTGTATTTTTTTAGTTTAATGTGTAGATAATCGTGTTATGTAGATACTTATCTTCAACCCTGTTATGCGCTCAAATTTTTATTTTTAGTTTTTTTTTTCTATTTGTTTTTAAGAAACGGTTTAAAAAATAAAAAAAAATATGTTCTTTAACATTTTTTTATTTCTAATTTTGAAAAAATTATGATATTTAAAAAAAAATTAACAGTTTTTTATTTAAAAAAAATTCCAAAAAAAATCCTTGACTCTCCCGACAACATGTGCAGCGTTACTGATCACTAAACGAGGAGGCAAAAATCATAAATGTGGGTAAAGAGGGATGTGTTGATTGAGAAGTGTTGGGAGAGAATAATGTGTCTCTAGGGTGTTCAAAGGATTGCCAAACAGAGTTATTGGCGTCATCAAAGAGGAGCAAAGTGGTGGAGGGTGATCGTTAAGTGGGGGGAAGGGGCAAGGTGGACCAAAGGAGGGAGCCATTGGAAAGTGGGATGGAGGGGGCAACAACGTATAGGGAGAGCATGGAGGTAGGTGTTAGGGGTTGTGGAAGTCATATTTGTCAACAGCGAATAGCACACCACAATGCAAAGTTTCCTGTGGAGCCATGGTGCATAGCACATGGTACGAAATTTTAAATAAGGTGCACAATGTAAGTGTATGTAGGATTTAAAATTGTTATTTTTGCGGTTTAACAAGATATTTATGTTTAAATTTTGCTATACTTAACCTATTGAATAATTTAGCCTAAATCCTGCCAAATAACAAAAATGAAAGTTTTAAATCCTAAAACAAAGTTAAATCCTTTAAATTTTTTTGATATTTAATTAATTTGATGTTTAATTAATTAATAATTAATTGTGATATTAACATATAAACCTTAAAAATTATAATTATAATTTATAATTTGAAATTTATAACATGTTAAGAAAATATCATGTGTCATTGCCTATGCACAACACAAATAGCGAGCGTTATTTTGATGTGCTGCACCGCACCGCGCCAAACAAATAGCATCGTATGTGTGTCGCACTGTGTCATGACGTGCTGTATTTTGCGTCATTGACATGTATGGTGGAGGTAGGTGTGTCGTGGATGGAAAATATAAATTAGGATTGTAGGGAGTCAAAGGTAAGGATGATAAAAAAGGTAGATGACATAATGGTGATTGTGGGGAGTCAGAGGAGAGGATGACCTAAATGCTTTTTATTTTTCATTTCAAAGGAACTAAATATATAAGGTATCAAATATATTGGTATTTCCTATCAAAGAGTAAACAAATTAAAGAAAAAAAAAATTGATCCTAAACATTCCCTTCAAATGTATTTTGTTCAAATCAACAATTGGATCCAATATTGAATGTGCTAAATATATCGATTAAACCCAAAGAGCAAAAGATGTAAGAAAGGTAGGCTAAGTCTTAATGGTTCTCTTTAGGTTTATCTTCAAAATCCCCCACCCTAAACCCTAAACCCTAAACCCTATGAGAGACACCGATGTGACTGAGTTTATAATCAGAGTTTGAAATTGTATATGCCCATGCTTGACTAATGGCCCCCTATTTAAGGTGAGGATCAATGTTGATGTTACAAAATTGTTCATAGTATGCTTAAAAAGAGTACATAAATTAAATTATGTAGAGTTGTATAGCATCCAAGTTTGGCTTGTAGTTGATTGCTAGTTAGGAAATACTGACAAGTTTCGAACTAAGGGTGATACCCTTGAAGAGTTCTTCTAATGAGAAACAGACAACAAGTCTTCTATGTGAGTAATCGAGTTCCATTGGAAAAACTATTGATAAATAAACAGTTTTATGAGTCGCTTGTGCGAGCTCAATAGTTCAATACTAACAATTGAGTAAGGGCTAGTAGCTGCATGAGTTGAGGCTTTTGATGACTTTGAGTTCTGAGTATAGGTGGTTTAGCTCAATTCACAATTAACCTCAATTGTCAGTATTGAGAAGCTGAGAAGGACAAGAAAATGAAGGTCCCGAAAAATCCAATTTAACTTTGATCTGGAGCATAAGCTTTACATAATGCATAGATCTTCGATAAGGGCTGACATGCAACATTAATATCTATAAATGTGAGGTTTGTGGTTCACTTTTAGAGTCTTTGTTGCTTGCATTTTAGTTATTGGCAAGGAGAGTGTCATAAGGTGCGACTTGCGAGCTAGTGATGTCAAAGATGCTGGAGGTGACAATCTCACTGGCAGTATTGTAGATTAGTGTCGAAGCTAGTGGGAAAAAGGAGCCGAATCACATAGTTTTTGAAGATGTTACATCTTCAAAGGAGGAGGAATCTCAAGATCTAACTTGACGGATTAGAGATTTTGAGGTGACTTTATTTGCAACAAAGCCGCTTGAGGGTGAGTCCAAAATAATAATCCTTGATGAAATATTTGAAGAGTCACTCATTGAGATTGAATCTCTTAAGAAGGTGACTAAAAGCTTTGAAGTTGGCTAAAAGAGGCTAAGAAGGCAAAAAAGTATGAGTAGATGAAGATTTTTCTTAATGAAATTTGCCAGACTTGACGTCTAGTTTCAAGTTGATAGAACGCCTTAATGAAGTAGAAGCCATGATTAATTGGTATATGAACTGGTATACTCCATTGTATAGTTATCCTTTAGGAGAAAGTTGGCTACCAAAAGTTGATTCATCACTTTGATGTCGTAGCTTTGTAAGGAAACTAGAAGTTGTAATTATGTTATATTAGCATTTTGATCATGAAGTCAGCCTTTAAGAGGAACTCAAATTTCACTGTGAGATTTGCCATATGTTACGAATTCGGTTTTTGATTGTGACATTAGTGTTTGATCAAGTCAAAGTTGGTGCATTGCTTGAACTTCTTAAGACGAAATTTTATGATGGCAAATCTCACTCAGGGATTTGGCCGTCAATTCAACGGCCATGATGAGCATCTTGGTAGAATGACCATGCTAAAATGACTAAGGAAATGAAATGTTTCAGCGTAACAAGTTATATAGCAGATGAGATTGTCTTATAGGTCACTACTAGCAAGCAACTTCAAGCAAGTTGTAGATTGAAGGGAAGTACTCTTGAAGAGTTCTTTTGGTGATAATCCCTAATTGGAAGTTAAGTACTCATGTTGAGTAGTCAAGCATCTTGGGTGAATGGTCTTGGCGAATAGGTGATTTGTGAGTTCCTTAAGGGAGTTCAATATCTCAGTACCAGAAGTCAAATAAGGGCTAACATGTGGGAGACTTTGCGAGATTCAATTTTGGGAGACTTGAGGCTTTGGGGCATTAAATTTGGTGAGTTTCTAAGTATAGGCAATCTAGGCTGGTTTAGAATCAACGACTCATCAAACTTGGTTTGAGCTTTCATAATGACTTGATTAATCTGACTCAGATGAATATGAGTATACAACAATCATGATTATTTTATTTATTTTTATTGTCATTAATATTAAATTATGGAGGTCAACCTTAGAGTCTAAAGGTTTTCGCTTGAGTAGATCTAAAATGGAATATATTGAGTGTAATTTTAGTAATAATAGACCTAGTGAGAGGATTGTGACTTTGGGTGATCAAGTCATTACTAAGAGTACCGTTTTAGATATCTTGGATCTATTGTTTAGAGTGATGGTGAAATAGATGGGGATATTATCAGTAGAATTCAAGTTGGACGGTTGAAGTGGAGGAATGCATCGGGCTTGTTGTGTGATAGAAAAGTACCCCTCATACTTAAGGAAAAATTCTATAAGATGGTAGTGGGGCCTGCAATGCTTTATGGTGCCGAATGTTGGCCATTAAAAGAGAAGCATAATACTAAATTAAGTGTGGTAGAGATGAGGATGCTCAGGTGGATGAGTGGCTTTACCCTTAGAGATAGGATACGAAATGAGCATATATGTGAAAAGGTTGGAGTAGCTCCAGTAGAAGATAAGATTAGAGAGAGTAGCCTTAGATGATTTGGTCACATAAAAAGGCGGCCTTCTGATGACCCGGTTAGGAGAGTAGATGTATTAGACTTTTGACTTATGTTAAGAAAGGTAGAGGCAGACCTAAAAAGACTTGGTTAGAAAATATTAGGAATGACCTTTCTTTATTAGATTTAAACGAGAATTTGACTTTTAATAGGACACAATGGAGAAAAAGGATTCATGTGGCCGACCACACGTAGTGGGATAAAAGCTTGATGTTGTTGTATTGTCATTAATATTAAGCATGGCATAGTGACATTTAGAAGTCGTCAAATTTGCCTAGCATCTAAATATCATAAAAAAAGATAACATTCATAAAATTGCTATTAATGCTATACATCCAAGCAGATTTCAGGTTATAATAACATGACATTGTATAATAAATGGCGCAATCCATACAGCCCCTAATTCAAAATCAACTCCAGAAAAATTAAAACTAATGGAATTAAAGGAGAAAAAGGTTTGAATTCTCACGCGAAGGGGGAGGGCTCGACGAAGAGAGCAATCCTTCGAGGCTTGCAGACTCGTTCACACTGCGCATCCTCCAAGATCCGTATCACCGTACCCTCTTGCCACACTTCATCCTGAGTTTCCGTACAGTACTCTGCGCAGAGAGCCATCTGCTTTGCTCGATGCCGTGGTAGGTACGAATCAAAGGATACGCAAGAGGAAAGAGTGCTTTGGGTAGAGAGAAGTGACACATGAGAAGAGGAGGTAGACAACGAGGCAGATGACGATACATGAAGAAAAAAGCTGGGAAATGAAGAGATGCGAATGACAGGGGAGAAATTAAGATTAAGATATAAAGAGGCGGAGTGGGGATTCATTAGGGTTCGAAGGCGATCTTCAGATGGGATTGTGCGTTGAAAGAGAAGTAGATGAACCAAAAAACAGGCTACACAGCCGTGGTGTCTGCCCCTGCTAGCTCGAATGTTTGTCTACAAGCATCTCAAAAAGGGCCGGCGGCAATTCTTAGAGCAAATAAATTTGTAATTTACATATCTAACTTCTAAAACTTTAATATTATATTCCTATTTCTCATATAAATTTTTAATATCAAATATATCACTTCTATATTTCATTCTTACCACCCATACCACACTATAAATTTTAATATTTTATTTCATGCACTCATATTTATTCTATAAGTGATAGAGATATAATATTAAAATTTTAAGTATTAGATATGTAAATAACATAAAATAAAATGATATGCATGTAAATAGGGGGATTTACATGCATACCATTTCTCATTCAACATGAAATTCAGCTCTAAGAAGGATTTTTTAATTAATACTTTCCTTTGAAGGGAATTTTAACTTTTTTTTTATGATATATTAAAAAAAACAAATTAAATTACTATTCTTTCAGCAGATATTTGATTTGAAATAAGATAATTATTTAAATACATAGATTTTAACAATAATTATATTTAGTCTACAATATAAGAAATGTATATTTAAATTTTGAGGTTTTTGAAATTCACTCATTAGTCCATTTTGTTTTATTTGAAAATTGTTAATCGATTTATAAATACATGGTGTAAATGAGTTGAGTCGAGCTAGAGTAATAACAAGTTAAAGCTCGGCTCGCATAATTTATAGGCTGCTTGAAGTCGAGCTTGAACTCGACTCGAGCTCGGAACTCAAGCTCGAACTCAACTCGTTACTCGAAACTTAGGCACGAACCCGTCGCTTTAGCTTGAGCTCGAATAAACTGCTCAAGCATGCCTCATTTATAGGTTAGATAATATAAAGGTTTTTATCAACGTAAGAGAAAAAAGAGAGAGGAAAAGCTCATTTGTTGCACATTCTTAATCAACTCTTAAATTGGTGGAGTTCTTAGTATAAATAAACTCGTCAAAGAGGATGAAAAATATAAACACAAGGACATCAAAGCTGCTAACCCTAGTAGCTGAAATGTAGCAAAGTTAAAATCAGCCTCTGGTTTTAGGGTTTAGGGCTTAGGGTTGAGGTTCAGGGTTTAGGGTTTAAGGTCTAGGGTTGAGGGTTTAAGGTTGAGGGTTTAGGGTTTACAGTTTAGGGTTTCAGGGTTTAAGGTTTCAAGGTTTAGGATTTGGGGTTTACGGTTTAGGATTTTAGGGATTAGGGTTTAGGGTTCAGGATTCAGGGTTTAGGGTTTTATGGTTTAGGGTTTAGGGTTAATGGTTTAGGGTTTCAAGTTTAAGGGTTTAGGATTTAGGGTTCAGGATTTAGGGTTTCAGGGTTTAGGGTTTAGGGTTTAGGGTTTGAGGTTTAAGGTTTAGGGTTTGGGGTATAGGGTTTGGGGTTTAGGGTTTAGGGTTTAAGGTATAGGGTAGAGGGTATAAGGTATAGGGTATAGGGTTTAGGGTTTAGGGTAGAGGGTATTGGGTATAGGGTATAGGGTATAGGGTATAGGGTTTAGGATGTAGGGTTTAGGATGTAGGGTTTAGGTTTAGGGTTTGGGTTAGGGTTTTTTTTAGGTTTAGGGTTTAGGGTTTTTAGGGTTTAGGGGTTTTTTTTTTGTTAAAGCCCACTTTAGGGCCTTATGCGTTTATTTTAAAAAAGCGATTACAAAAGTCCTTAAAAGAGACTCTAGGTTCAACTAAAAATAAAAGAAAATTCAATCTAAAAGAAAAGAAAATACAAAAATAAAAGAAGAATCTAAGAGCCTTAAGTCTCTTATCTAGATACAATGAAATAACAATGAAATAAAAATTAAGAACCAAAAGATCTTCATTATCCATCAACATCAAAATCTTTATAAGCTTTAGCCAAATAGAAGGTCTCTGCCATCTTCATTGATAGAAGTCTCCAATTTCATCAAATCTGGATAATAATACTTAAAGCCAATTAAGTAATAATTACACAAATATTTGATAAAAATTATGCAAGTATAAAAATTTATTTGGCTCAGGATTAAAAAATCTAAAATAGAAGAAAAGAATACCAAAGATTTCAAAGTAATTTGACAGAGGCATGATACAAATCCAAACAGAGAAAGGTTACTGAGAATCCAATCCAACAGAACAAATAACTCCTCCCAACCAATACAAAACCACTGCCAGCCATCACATAGCCACGAAATATCCTCCAACCAAACATAACAACAACTTATAGATAACCATCTCCCATACAACCAAATAATATTTTTAACAACCCAACATATCTGCTCAAAGTAAAACCGCCCCCTTCCATGCATCCAAGTAAAACTGCCACCTTCTAGCATCCAAGTAAAACTAGAATTACCAAATAACTAGAAACTCCACCAAAAACCCATCTTGCCAACCAAATTACAAAGAAAAATGGCAAACAAAATCTTCCAAAAAAGATTTAAAAATCTAAACATCATAGCCAAATCAAATACGAATATAAGGTAAACCTGCTTTGTCAAGGTTGATTATTCCCTTTAATAAAAAGGGAATATTATCATTATTAAATGAAATAAATTGATCCAAATGAGCTCCAGTTTTGGCTTAAAAATCAGCAGTTGAATTTCCTTCTCACCAAATATGAGAGATTCTATAGTCAAGATGAGATAACATTCTTTTGATATCTTTAAGAATACAAAATGTATCAAAATTACCAAACTTATCATCAGAAATATATTGAATAACTAAAAGGGCATCAACTTCAATCCAGATTTTAAGATAACCAAAAGATAAGCAAATTTTAAGAGCTTTATAAATTGCCATAAGTTCAACAAATAATACTCAAAATGAATGCCAAATATATACTCTAAAATTATATTGTGGAAGAAATAGAATACCAAATATCTCAAATGAATGCTTTTAGAAAAAAAAAAACAATTGTTCCTGAATTTAACTAAGCTTTGATCAACCAAATAGCAAATAAAACCCGTATCAGTTATATTAGAATAGGTATTGAACCAAGATAAATAAGCTAAAAAATTCACCATCAAGCTATCCCAAACAGCAATTTCAAAGAGAAAAGGCAAATTAAACTTCCATAATAAATTGATTAAACTAAACATCATAGCCAAACTATCAATTATATTCGAATATATGGTAACCCACATTTATCAAGATTAATTATACCCCTTAATAAAAGGGGTATATTATGTTGATGAAATAAAGTAAACTGATTCAATCTAGCTCCAGTTTTAGCTATAAAATCAGCACCAGAATTTCCTTCTCTCCAAATATGAGAAAATTTATAGTCCAAATGAGAGAGCATTTTTTTGATGTCTTTTAAAACATAAAAAGTATCAAAATTGTCATTCTGATAAGAAAAAATACTGTTAATAACTAACATAGCATCAACTTCAATCCAAATTTTAAAGTATCCAGAAGATGAGCAAATTTGAAGGGCTTTAAAAATCGCCATGAGTTCAGCAAATAAAACAGAGCAATTACTAAGAGGAGAAGAAAAAGCCACCACTAGGTTACCTTTGTCATTTCTTAGAATACCCCCACAACCAGAATAGTCTTTAGAAACAGAACCATCAGTATTAACTTTAATATAGTGAATACGAGGTTTTTTCCAAATAACATATTTGAAGCTTTCTTCATGAAGGTTTTCAAAGATATTAGCATTTAACTTTTTAACTACAAATTTAAAGCCACGAAATTGCTTTTGATGAATCAAATTAACCTTATAAAGGCTATTGATTTTCTCTTTGGTTCTAGCAATTATTCGATTATGATTCATAGTAACATTCCTATGTTTAGCATCATTTCTCTCAATCCATAAGAACCAAATAAGAGAGATAGCAGTAACAAATTTTATATGCCCCAAAGTAGTATTGTGACAAATAACAGTTAGAAAATGATTAAAAGATAAATGACAACTAAAGTAATTGGTATTAAAAAATTATCAAATCAAATTCAAACTCTAGCAGCAATGGGGCCATTAATAAAAACATATTGGGTTTATATTGGTCTAATTACACTTGGAAGAGTAGCATTAACTAGATTTGTGGCAAATATTATACAGAATTTTATCAATCATTTTTGGATTGATAATATGGCCTTTCAACTTTTGTGAGCAGTCTTAGTAAAAGCTTTCTATCATTGTCCTTTACTTATTTATCTATCAAAAAAAGAAATTAGAATCAATAGTATTCCTACTTAGAATTTCAAAATATACGTGCAATTTTAACATAATAATTCTCTAATATTGTTTGAAGCTAATTGGAATGCTGATTTTAGCTCCTTGACTAACTCTGTTTTAGAGGGAATGGTGTAGATTATGGATGAAATTGAAAAAGGTTGAAACATTACCCTTAATTGTGGCAATAAAAATCATTTTTAAAAATAATTTTTGCCAACATAAAAAGAAACGGAAAGGGAAAAAGAGGTTGTCTGCTTGGAAATTCTTTTACTGTTCTGATCTTCTTTTCTTTAAGTTGATTTGAAAACCATAGCCAAGGATAATTTTGTTAAATTTCAAGATTATGGAGGAAACCTTATTGGAAAGCAAAAATCAGCTTCCAGACATATTTTTCTGAAGGGGGATTAGAAACACCAAATATTTCATGCTTTTGCGTTAACAAAAGAAAATTCTCATCAATTTTTATTGATAAGATTTAGAGATCGAGATGGGAAATTGGATTTCTGACACTTTTACTTCATAGAATCTTGTTTATTGATTATTTTCTAATATTTTTTGGCAATGTAGCGATTCATGTTAAAGGAATTCTAGATTATTCTTTTCTTTATTGACTAAAAAATTATTTCAGAGGATGACAATATTGCCTTTAACTGCTCTATTCCTACTGAAGAAGAAAATATATTATGGCATGTTTAACTTCTATGAATCCTGATTCATACTACTTGTATGGGATTGGTCATATACTTCTTCAATTTCTTTCAAAGCTTGTTGGCCTCACTTTTAAAAATAAATTTAATTGATGCTTGTCGTTGATTTTTTTTCCAAATGAAAATGCTTTTTCCTAAATACTTTTACCTCTGATCTGCCATGTTCTATACAAAAAAAGACAATCCGGCTAGCTGGAAGAATTTAGACCTATAAGACTTATGTTACTTTTTCAATAAATTTAACTTCCGAATCATTACTTTAAGATTTAGGGACCTTTGTTGCCGCGCTATGATCTTTCTAAATCAAACTCTTTTGTAAAAGGTAGATTGTATCGGATAATATTCTTAATGGACCCAGGAATTGTGTTAAGTGATGATTAACAATAAAACTAGATGGCGAGCGCGCGGCAACATGGTTTTTTAAGCTTGATATTTCTAAAAAGCTTCATGATAACATAATCTGGAGTTTATTTATAAAGTTTTTTAGGAGCTTTTGGGTTTTCTAATCAATTATAAGGTTGATTAGAAATTCTGTGGACAATTTTGGTTTTCCATTTTACTTAATGGGTGGTTCTAATAGCTTCTTTCATCTAAACATGGGGCATTAGGCAAGGGGGCCCATTGTCTCCTTCTCTTTTATTATAAGCATGGAATACTTTTCTAGATGCATTAATTTATATTTGAGAAAGTATCCGTCCGATGTATTACTTAAATAAAGATGGATTTCCTATATCTTCATTTTTTGTTTTTGCAAGATTGATTATCATGATTATTTTGTAATGGTGGATTTAAACCATATTAAGAAAATTAAAAGTTTTCTTAATAATTTCTTTTTGGAAAAGTAGGTTTTATCCAAAAAATGACCTGAAAATTCTTTCTTTTACTTCAAAAAACATTTCCTTTAGCTAAGATTAAATAGAATTTTCTCTATTACCAAATTTGTTCATCAAAATTTACCTTTTAAATTATTTTAGTTGTGCCTCCGATTTTTTAGAGGTTTATTAAGAATCTCACCTTTTTGGATGAATATTATTAAATTTCAACTATACTGATAAAATTCTGTCTCTTGTATATTTCATTTTTTGGTTTTACTTATGGTGGTTAGATTAACTGTTCTATAAGAGCATTCTTAATGTTCTATGGACGGTGTTTCATTTTAGTTACAGTTATTACAACCAGATTTTTGCTTACGTGCTTTTAAGGATTTAGTAGAGAATTCCTTTAGAATTTTTTTTTGATGGTTCAGAATGATTTTTCTTACTAGGAATGCATTGGCACTCTCTTGGGAGTAAGCTGTTGTGGCTCTCTTTATATGAATGGAGGTCTTGGTTGTAAATCTATCCTCTGAGTTCTTTATATTGGTTTATCTATGAGAATGTGGTGGAATTTTTAGAAAAAATGATTAAGTCTTGGGGCTTTTTATAGTTCTGAATTATATAGGTATTTTAAAACATGAGTATCATCCCTATATGTTGTTACTATAAGCCATGGTTGTGACTGTTTAATTTGGAAGATAGGCATTTGTCAAATAAAGAATATTATGGAACCTCTTATAGCTTGGGGTCTTAATTCTTGCGAAACTGTTTTTTTTTTTTTTTTTTTTTTTGAAAACAATTGGACTTTTTGAAGGTTCTATTGAAATCACTTCTTGGCTACTGTTTCTTATTACAGGGGTTGTTAAAGATTAAGAATTTTTTTTCATAAATTCAATACTTGGGATAGTGCAAAGAGCTTGCCTTGATCTGATTCCTATTGACATATTTAGCACTAAAATTTTTTAAGCTTTCTTTGGGGATAAATCAAAAGTTAAAGATCATATTCTTTTTAAAACTATCATTAGGTAATTGGTAACTTTAGTGTTTTAAAGTTGCTTGCGATTTCATTAGAAGAAAAGAAGATATTTCTATGGCTTCTCAAAAAGTATTTGGAGCTATATAAACATTCCTACAGTCTCAGTATTCTATTTTTTAGTTTGAGGAGATAATAAAAGGTTTTTACCGTGTTGATACTGTATGCTTGGGAAGAAAGGTTTATATGGCTTTTCCTCTAAGTGTTATTGTTGTTATCAATATAGAAGACAATCAATCATGTT